TAGCATTGGCTGATATTTCACTTTTCTGGAGACAGGGGTTTCGTCAGTCGAACATGGATTATTATTTCCCTTTTTTCTCCGACTGCTTGACATTCCTCACGAGGCCTTCACGTCCCTATCCCAGCTGGATGAAGTTGATACATCCCTGGAATTGGACTGTGTGGCTTACCATGTTCGGAGTTCTCGTCTCGGCAAGTATATTCCTTGGTCATCTGTTGGAAGGCATCGGATTTGGGAATGCCCTATTTCTCTTCTTCCGTCTCCACACATTCCAGAGTTTCTCCTCAAGATCGACTAGTGTCATTTCCAGTCGGATCCTCCTTGCATTCTCGTGGTTTTACGTCATGATTCTACTGACATCGTACACAAGTAGTCTGGTATCACTTTTCGTCCTGCCTCGATTCCAGCCCAGACCTGGCTCCCTGAAGGGTCTTGTAAATTCCGATTATGAATGTGGGGCCGTGGATTACGGGGGCGGACTTCTCAGGCAACTTCGGGAGTCTGGAGATCGAGATTTGAATGCGTTGGCTGCAAGAATGATCATGTTCCCGTACGACGAAGCCTGGAAATACCATGTTCCCCTCGACGGAGTCATGACGGAGTCCTTTGCTTTCATCGAATGGGAGAGCACGATCAAGGCCCTGGGTTACGATAGACGAGAAGATTATTACATTAGCCCTTCCCCTTTCCTATGCATTCCCGTGACTTGGATCATAGGAAAGGAACTGAGAGGATTGAAGGAATCATTTGAATGATATTTCATGAGGATGACGGAAGAAGGCTTGATTCAGCATTGGTGGAGCACTAGCCTTGAAGAAAGCATACGCCAGAATTCCAAGGTCATTAATGCCACCCTACATTTGGGAAGAAGAGAGGAGAAATACCGTGGTCCCTTCCCCCTATCTCTGTACAATCTCCAGAGTTCATTTCTCTTCTTGATTTTAGGATACCTGCTTTCAACCCTTGCCTTTGCCGTTGAGCTCTTTTTCCCTCGACTTTGAAATCCACGTGGGACGTTCGGATTGTGTTTCTTCGGACATATTCGTCGTTGTTGTGAGAGACCCTCTGAGATGAATTGTCCACGCTGTCATTGTCCCGTCTGGATGCAGAAAGCTGTTTCATTCATGCCCTGTTTAAGCCTTTCACGAAAATCCTGAAGTTTGAATGCAGTGCTGAAGTTGAATCATATTTCCTCACACTGTTCAAATATCTCATTTGACTTTCGTCTTTCTCTACTTCTCTGTTTTGCTTTTGAGGCCTTTGTATCACGTATTGCGGTTTTTCTATTGCGGCGGAACTTCTTTCTGTACTCTTTTGAAAGAGTTGTTTGACAGTCAAGTGTGTGTTTTGGAAGCCTGAAACCATTCGGCATAAAACAGACTGAAAATGTGGAAATGACCCCTTGAAACGCACGAGTCCTGGGGCGAACGATTCGCTAGGATAGGCGTTTAGGGTGGAATTTTGAACAGAGCATTATCCGATAGTGCTGCTTTATTTCAGAGAAAATGCATTGTAAATCCGGTAAATAAAGCTGCATTATCGGATAGTTCTCTGTTCAAAAATCCACCCTTAGCTTTCAAAAGTTGTTCATTTCCATTCATCCTTTTTCTTTTCTTCTGACTTCGATTGGAAGTCTATAGTGATGACACTATACGAATACTATGAAATTGCGAAATGAACATTACATGTTGTGAAGTTGCATAAGATTCGCTTGTTCTGTAGGAAATGAAGCGTTGTCGTTCCTTATTATTTATTTCCCTAGTTTGTTACTTCCCACATATTTTCCTCGGGAAAAGAAAAAGAATACGAATTATCAATCGCTCTAGTTGCGATGAAAACAACAATTTCAAAGCAGCAGAAACAGCAATAATGTACCTTTTTGTGTCGAAATTCGCAGAATATTTTAAGTTTTGTCGTTTCACATGGAGATATTCAATTCAAAATTCCCCACGAAAGCGATGAATTTCGACAGTGACCACTCGTGTCAACAATTATTATGGTCATCCCTTTTACCTTTGACCTCGTGATTAGTGTCAGTGGATTCAGTGTGTGGCTTAAAACGATAACCTATGTTCAATCATCGGTTTCGTGTTAGTTTCAGTGGAAGTTGCGCGCCAAGAAGGCCTTGGAAAAATGAGAAAAATACCTGGAATGTTCAGCAAGAAAGTGACACGTGACAGAATTATTTCTGGCTGAACGATGAGAATGTCAAGTTCGCAGAGCACGGATTAAGGTCTCAGTCCTTAATCTGGATATCCACTGTATATTGCTTGTGTTCTTTTTTTGTTAAATAGGATTTTATAACGAGTGACAGTGTGTATGTTTGGTTTATTCTGATCCAGGCTATGGATTAAGAATCACAATTTCTTCAGATGATAACCACAGTCGACTCCGCTTAATGGAATACTCACGGGACCAGCGAACTTTATTTTATAATCCGGAGTATTCCAATAACTGAAACAATCGTACTGGACTTTTCTTTGTACTTGAAGCAACTTTTAAAAGGTATATACTGTGGTACAGTATATACATTTTGAGCATTCGTCACTCTTAAGAATGCGTTTGGCGTATTACAATATTTTGCAGTTTGCGTTTGATGATCTTTGAAACTCGCGGCTGAGAGATCCCTAACTACCGAGCCAGTTCAGGTTGCGTAATCTTTTCGTCCTGATGAGCATTCAGAACTGCGATATTTTCAGCCAAGCTGAGGTCTTTCCTATTCCGCTGGGTCAACTTGGAATGTGCAGAACTGATGCCTACAGGCTCAATTTATAGTTCAGGTAAACTTTCTTTCCCTTTCGTCTAAAAAGAGCAGGCTAATTTGCCACTTTTCCGCATCTGTAGCTCATACCCCAATTTCTAGGAAAAGGTGTGCTTGCCTTCCCCACTGCCCTTGGTTCACGGAAGAGTCAAGTGGGAACTCGTGACCTTGGTTCGACGAAGCGGGAGGGTGGGATTGGGGTAAGGGCCGGAGGAGACTTTCCCAGAATGCGAAAGGGAAAAATAAGCATTTCGTTTTACAATGAACAGAAAAAAAAGTATTCCATGTTTCAGCATTTCGAATTTCGCTCTTCCATCAATCATTGAGAGCGGAATGACATTTTATGTGGAATTAAATAGGGTGAGCATGGAGTTCAGTCAAGTTGATATGAACGATGTCAAAACATCTTAAACGATGGAAAGTGAACGTGAATTCCAAATTAAACCATTTAAATCGTCACTTTCATGATAGAATTGACATTTCGTTGAACATGATGCATATTAAAATGTAACAACGCTTGATTCTTACTTTGGCCATAATTTGCCATGGATTTCATGGATATATCACATTGATATGAAAATGGTGCTCCAGATGGGAGATAAAGGACAGAGAAGCGAGAGAGAAAGAGAGAGGATTGGAGATAAACGGATAATGGAGGGACAGTTCCTCGTGGAGCAACTGGCGACGTGCGATCAGTGACAGCCGTGGAGAATGTGACTGGATGGCTTCTTTGGTTTTCGCCTTCTTTTTCTTCCTGGCCCCTGGATGCATCTCCGCAGGTCTGTCTAATTAGCCAGTAAACTTCCATGGTTACTGCAGTGCTCCCCCTATTGATGGTCGAGAGTAGGCGAGTGTCGGATGCAGAAATTTATTCATAGGGGAGGGGACGCTTAGCTACTTCCTTACCCTCCCCCACTACCCTCCTACCTATCGTCTTTTTCATTTTTCACCATGGGTAAAAGCTGAAAATCCAATATCACAGACCCCAATCAAAAGAAATTGATGTTTTTAGACATTTAGAAATATATTGCAAATCTGCCCCCCCCCCCCCTGCATCCGCCACTTGAGTAGGCCAAGAGGTTTCGTAACTGATGACGATCAGAAGGAAGTTCAAGGTTATCTTGGGGGCACAGTCCATAGTGTCATCGAGGAGGATATCTAATGGACGAGATCCAAGAGGAAAAATCCGTTTGACCGGAGGGAAACAGCTTTCTCTCTAGACTGAAGGGATTGGTTTCAGGTTCGGAATGAATGGAAAGGTTCCTTGCGTGCAATATATTTAAGACAATTGCTGTAAGTTTTGCGACATTCCCGAAAAGGCCGAATACTTCGAAATCAGCCGATCTGGTCTACTGTCACGATCAGTGATTAACATTTTTTGGCTGCGACCCAAATTCCGGTCGCGGGGCTAGCTTGGCGACCCATGCCCTCAAACAGCTCACTTGTGAAATATGTGAAAGTTCGGTCAGTCACTGGAGACCCTTGGCGACCCAATCAAAATGGCTCGGCGACTCAATTTTGGATCGCGACCCAGTGGTTAAGAACCACTGCGTTAGACCATTTATTACGAGCAAGATAAGGAAATGAGATCCTTATGAGCATTCAAGTAATCGAGCAGTCTACGAAGAATCTCGGCTCATTGCGACGTCATGGAATGAAAAATTGGGAAAGTAGGGAAAATTTAGCACCAATTAGCCTTAATGTTAATTAAGGATAATTAATGCCAGAAATTAGAGGTAAATTGTCCCCAGATAATGCAAGCCGTAGGTGGCAGCATTCGACCATCGTAGAATGATAAGGGGGAGATAACTGCGAATACCAGTGGCATGACCGGGTAATGAAGTGATTTAATCGTTTCCGTTTCCAATAGTGAATCAGCGAATAGTGTGAATAGTGAAGAGTGAATAGTGAAAATAGTGAGGTAGTGCTACTGACGTCAGGCATTCTTGAGGATATGGCAAGGCAGAAACGGCAGCAGATCCCAAATGATTCCAACTCGTTCTTCCATTGCCGCTAAGAATAAGTTTTAAAAAAATGTTTGGAATTTTTTTTTTGGAATAGGGAATCCCATGAATTTTCTCCACATAAAAGGGAATTTCTCTAAGTATACAGATGTGTAGGATGCGATATAGCTATTGCCATCTTGACGATAGATTGAAACGCTTCCCCAGAAAGACCGTTAGTGGTGCACGTTAGATACGCCTCTTCGCATGAAAAGCACAAACTTTGAATTTTGGAGATGGACAGGTGAACGGCATTTATTATGGGAACCCGGTCACAACGAGGCAGAAGACGCGTGCAGATGGGAAATCCCCAGCTTGGAATTACACAGGAATTGTCGGACCTATTCTCACATCAAAGACAGATTTTTTTCTCCTCTGGACTATATTAATGAAACGGAAGCGAATTAAAGGAGAATGATAACAATATCTGCTTCTCGGGAAACGTCGCGTGCTACCCAATAAGGAGCAACCTTTCACACCCAGCAGGCAGAATCGTGGGAGGGGAAGATGCGAATCCAGGAGAATATCCCTGGATGGCTGCCCTTCTCCGAAGGTCTTCCTCCCCTCGCGAAAGGCCTTTCTGTGGCGGATCTCTCATATCTCCCATCCACGTTCTCACCGCAGCCCACTGTGTCGTAGAGTAAGTCCGTCCCTGGCGTCGAGCCGATAGTCACAATGATAAATCGTGTTACTCCTAACAGGCTTCACTCTCCAATTATCTTTGTGGTTCGGATCGGGGAGCATGACTTCGAGAGGGAGTTCGAGACGAAGCATGAGGATTTCTCCATTCGACGCGTCCACGTTCATCCCGATTACAAGAAGACCGAGAACGCCATCTACGATGATGTGGCCGTCCTCGAACTGGAAAGTTCCTGCATGAAAGAGCCTCGGACTGTCTGTCTTCCTGATGATCCTGGAGATTTTCGGCGTGACACAGCCATCGTCTTAGGTCAGGGATTCAATGATCAGGTAGCAGAGCGTCCATGCATGGCAAGCAAATAGAAAGTGGAATGAAGGGAAACCATTTGTGCACCATTCAGGTTGGGGGAGGTCGCTCCCGAAAGGAGACCATGAACCCATCCTACAAGAGGTGCTTGTCTCTATTTATCCAAATGAGGAGTGTCAATTCTTCTACGAGGGAATCACGAGCACACATCTGTGTGCTGGAGACCACGTGGACGGAGGGAAGGACTCGTGCAAGGTATGACAGAAACCTGAGGCATAACATTCCATTCATTTCGACCACCAGGTCTTGAATGCAAATTTAAAAAAAATATATGCATTTTGGCTCTTCAGTGGGATTCCGGAGGACCTCTACAGGTACGCCTGGAAGGGAAATGGGTCCAAGTGGGAATCGTGTCTTATGGAGAAGGCTGTGCGAGGCCTCAAAAACCCGGTGTCTACGTCAATGTCTCCTCCCACTTGTCCTGGATTGCTAGCGTCATCCACAACTATACTCTCAACGGTACGATTTCATAGATTTCACTGTTCTCGTCAACGATGGCGTCGACTCTGACCGTTACCATCGGGCGGCCTTTTTGCAGATGAAAGGTGCGGGGAATCTATGAAAGAGGACCCAGATTTGTTTGAGAACTGCCAGAATGGAGCAACTTCCCTCAACCGGTGCCCTGCCCTTTCGCCTTTACCGTTTTCCATCTTCCTTCTGTTTCCATCCTCTGCTTTGTTCACTCGCTTATTTACTTCAGTTGTTCGCACATAGTATGAAGTTGAAAGCTCTTCGAAATCAGGGAAGGTTTTTCAGTTTACATTAAGGTCATCGTGTATTCTATAAAATGCATTGATTATCTGGCATTCCCATATGCACTATAGGGAAATGCCAGATACTGCGGTCGGATTGTCACTTTTTTATTATTTATTCCGTCTGTTCGCAGTAACCATAGCGACCGGACAACACGACCCAATGCGCACGCGCAGTTTTCCGCCTGGGTCGGGGTGCCCGTCTTCCACGGAAACATCCACTTCCCTTCCAGCTTTGGCGGTTGACGGATCCATAGTACAGTATTTCCCAAACGGTGTGCCGTGAGATTTGAGTTGACAAAAAAAAAAACTAAAAACCTAAAACTAAAATAACTTTAAAACAAGAGGGAAAGCCATCTGTCAGAGGAAAACGAGCTGAGAGTTGCACTATCACGTCTCGTATCAAACTGCTGGATTCAGCAAAGCAAGCACAAGTTTCCCATTGAAAGTGAGTAAATGGCTGGGTGTGCCGTGGAAAGTTCAGGTGTGCTTATGTGTGCCGCAAATAAAAAAAATTGGGAACCACTACCAAAGTGGACAATGGAGAGCGGCTGCTCCTAGCTGCGTAAACAGGGTTGCTAGGCGTAAGCGTGAAATGTCGTATCTGGCATCCTACACTTCATACTGTCCTCCCATCTCCGCGCGACGCGACCACGCGGACCAATGAAAACATGTCTAGGCTAGACTTTTTGCCTGGGACTTTTTATACAGGCCTATGCCGAACCAATGACAGCTATTATTTACTTCAAGGTTGGATGGTTAGGATGTGGTGAATATATACTATTATTGACTATAGCTATTGACGCGCCTTCGGCGCTCTGCGACCTAAGGAAATTACTTATGCATTTCAGATTAAGGCATCCGTTTTCCATGCTCACCCCTAGTAATGCGGTCAAACTCCTTTGCTCACGGGTTCTATTCCCACACCTTTGGCTCTGACACCTTAAAAAAAGTGTTTTAGAACATATTCTTAGTAACGCCATGTTACTTGTAGTATAAGGATCACCATGTAACATTTGTCAGTGCGTCGTTCAGTGTTCTATTGGTGTATTCAATTCCTAAGCAGGAATTGAATATGGTCGACACACTCGATTGCATATCAATCTCTAAAAAAAGTAGAAGTGAGTAATAGCAACCATATGAACCACATAAGTGACTTGAGAGTTTTAACGCAATAACTCTTTATAGACTACGTTCACTGAATGGGGAGTTATTTCATTATCTTCATATCTATATTTAGGCACAAGTACATTTATGGAATCCCTTTTTCTAACTCTACCTAATGCTACATATACCCAAGCAGCATGTTTATGTTAATTTTACGTAAACTGAATGTAAATTTTTTGTCCATTTTATATCTATTTTACGCAAACCATCATCAAGATAATGTCAACATGTTTGCAGAAATGTCACCTCTGGAATACGTAAACGGTGATATAAAATTTGCGTAAATTTTACGTAAAATTGGCATTCCCGTTTACATCCCCAACAGCATTTTTACATTCATTTTACGTAAAATTGATGTTGATTTCCCCCTAACATTCATGCGTAACGAGCTAATTTGTACTTTTGAAGAGAATTGATTCACTGCATTTCTCCCATTCCTTTCCATACCTTGGAACTCAAGGTTACTTGGACGAGTGCACAAGTACTCAAGAGTACCAAGATGACTCACTAGTTCCTCCTCTCGTACCAGGACCTCGGGAAGAGAAGTAATTGTTTAGAGGAGTTCTCTTCCATTAAGGATAGAGAAAGCATAGTACTTGTGGAACTGGGATTCTACTCTTCCCTAATCCCGTGCACTGCTCTAATAACAAGCTTACCTTCAGCATTTAATGATTCCCTGAGTCATATATTATTAAAAAATATGTAATAATTTCCTGCTTTCCATATATATATTTATGGATTGCATAATGAAAAGTAAAAGGATGGTAAGAAAACCTGATACTATATCGGGAAAGCTAGTACTTAGTAGCATTTGTAGGGTTGAGGGAACAAGGGTTCCATCTAGTGAGGAATCTTGGTATTGCAACTGTGGGATGCCTTTCGCCATTAAAAAAAGAATGAAATTAGCTGTCGTTCAATTAGGCTTGCTCCGGTACAGTCCCCCAGTGTTGCCGGATACCGTGCCGAAGTTATACCAGATTCAAAACTGTTTCAATCTTCGTATTAGCTCTGAATCTTCTGTTTTTTTAATGCATGAGACATTTTTGTGCTGAGAGAGGAAGAAGTATGCCAAATTTCGTTCCTGTTGATGCTCTCAGACAGGAATACGAGGAGGTTGAATTTTGCGGCGGGAAGGGGTTGAAGAACGGTAATAGGCGCTACCAAAGCCTATTGATAAATCGTGGATAGAAAATCTCCGCGGAAAGGGACCTCGTGACTTTCCAGTTACGTGCACGGTGAAGTTGGAATAGCCGCACCGAGTCCCTTCGTCGCCTCCTTTCGAGGAGCAAATCGTTCGACTGAGTCGAGTTTCCACAACCCCGTGGAGGGATGGATCTGCGAGAAATCACATTTTTCGACATTTATTCGATGTTTTAGGATTCTGGTTCCATTCGACATTCCGACGTTCCGACATTCCGACATTCCGACGTTCACCCCTTCCGAGGGAGGACGCAGTGGTGTCGAGCGACGGCTGGGAATTTCACTGCGAGAAATCATCCGAATGCTTCCGAATTCTCGCGGGAGATTGAGACGAAAAGGGAGATTTCGTGGCCGGGCGTCACGACTTTTCCGTGACTCAGACCTCGCCATTCGATATTGAGGGTTTCGGCCGGGATCGATGGAAATTCCGACGGAGACGTTCGGAAGGGGAACGGTGATATCCACGGGAGAAAATCGGCAGGGCTCGGACGCGATGTTCCGAGTTGACAAAAATTCGTGGAGGACGCTTCGTTTCGTCGAGATTCGCAAAAAAGTTGCTCGCGGTTGAAACGTTTCCTTCGACGGCATTTCTTGGAAAACTGTCCTGCGTGGTGGAAAAAAAAAAGTGAATGGGGGACTACGTGGATGACCTCCTTTCATTATCGATGCGGCATACATATGGCTGCACGTGACGTTAAAATAGAAACTGCTGCGATTGGTGATTCATCCCTGATGATCGCCCTCGAATCGATAGAGGATTTCCCTGGTCCACACCCTTGCCTCATTTCTGACGTTTCCGAGGCGAAACCGGATTTCATTTTTCGATTGCGAGTGCGAAAAGCCAGTAGGAACCGGGTTACCCCCTCCCTGCCCCCCTGCCCCCCTGCCCCCCTGTCCGGGGGGGGCCGAGGGAGCAGGTGCACACGATGAGGGTCGGGCCATCGATCGCCGTCCGCATCGACTACGCTGGCTGCCTTGGAAACGCGTCCCAACACGGCCTTCCTCTGCATCGTCCGTCGTCCTCCGTCCATGCATTCCGTGTTTTGGAGTCTGTGGGGAAACGAGAGGACTCAGGGATGGCAGGCTCGCCGTCGAGCATGAACCGCTATGTGACGCTCAGCACGCTCGGGGATGGCACTTACGGGTCGGTCGTGCTCGGGCAGCGGGTGGACACGGGGGAGAAGGTCGCCATCAAGAAGTCTGTTTCTCGTTTTTCCTTTCTCCCTTTTTTTTTCTTCTCTTTCTGCACCGTTTGAGCGTGATGTTCTTTCTCACCGACACGGATTCTTTCAGATCTGTGAATGAATGGGCTTTTTGGAATTGAGCACCCGAGCCTGCAGTCATGATGCACAGGTATCAGAGGGTGTGCACCCTCGGGGATGGCACCTACGGGCAGGTGGTGCTCTATCGCCGCCTTGACACTGGCGAGAAAGTCGCCATTAAAAGGTACGACGGAGCTCATCGCCCATCTTTCATTTGCAATTTCTATGCAATTTATTTGCAATTTTTGCATGGCCTGCATGATTGCACGGTCGTTATTAGACTAGATTCCTTTTTTTTCCCTTCGTACTTCCTCGGTGCTCAATCCGTTCCTTCTCGGTGTTTTCCAGGATGAAACGGAAGTATTACTCCTGGGACGAAGCGATGAACCTCAGGGAAGTGAAGGTAAGGCGAATGGCAACATCGGTTTCCCTTCTCGTGACTCGGTTTCCTTGGCAACGGGGACGGTCGCTTCATCCGGGGGGGGGGGGGGGGGGGGGGGGGGGGGGGGGGNGGGGGGGGGACGGGGGGGCGGGGGGGGCCGATGGGTTTCGGTCGTGATCATCGTTTGTCGTGGGGGTTCATCGCGGTTTTATGGTCATCGCTCTCTCGGCAGGAAGGTTATCGTATGGGATGATCTTATGGGATTAGACGGGGATAGATGTGAATGGGACCCCGCTCGACGTTGCTGGTTCCCCGTTTCCCAGTTGAGAAATGGATTTCGCATGAAGAAAGGCTACGGCTAATACATTTCATGCTACTTTCTCCTCCCCATTTCCTTGTAGACGATCGAAGGAAAAACGAACCAACTCCATTCTCGTCGGATAATCTGGGAAGGAAGGAAGAGAAGGAAAAGGGGGAGAATGGGGAGAAAAGGGGGGGAATGGGGGGAAATGGGGGGGGGGGGGAATGGGGGGAAAAGGGGGCTGGTACCTTCTCGCGTGTTCGAGAATCGTCACGACTTCTTGGTTCATCCACCTACACCGTGGGGATTCGGTTCGAGGCCTTTCGTGTCTTCCGCCCAAATTCTCTTCTTTCAAGCACATTCTCCGTTATAGTCACGGCTTCTCTTCGAGAGACACCCAAACGGCGTTAGCGATCGGAACGAGGGATTTCCCTCGTCGCGTAATTACTCCCCCTCCGATTGCTAATCGAGAATCTCCTCGGACAGAGCCTGAAGAAGCTGAGCCATGCGAACGTGGTGAAGCTGAAGGAGGTGATCCGCGAGAACGACAATCTCTACTTTGTCTTCGAATACATGAAAGAGAATCTCTACCAGCTCATCAAGTCGAGGTGAGCACTAACCTCGGGTGAGCACTAACCTCGGGTGAGCACTAACCTCGGGTGAGCACTTACCTCGGGTGATCGATCTCGGCTCCGGCTGATATGCCAGGGGTCGTCGTCGATCGATCCAAGGTCACAGTAACTATCGCTCTTGCGATCGTTGTTGGCTCTTGTTTCCGCGGTTCGTTCGGGTTTTCGCGAGGAGAAATTCCAGAATTACAGAAAACTGGAAGAAAATGGAATTTTTCGTTCTAAAATCCGGATTCCCTTCAGGGACAAGATGTTCCCGGAAGCGACGATAAGGAACATGCTGCTCCAAGTACTTCTCGGCCTCGAATTCATGCACAAGCACGGCTTCTTCCACCGGGACATGAAGCCGGAGAACCTGCTGTGCATGGGGCCGGAGCTGGTCAAGATCGCGGATTTCGGCCTGGCGAGGGAGATCCGGTCGAGGCCGCCGTACACCGACTACGTCTCGACTCGGTGGTGAGTGCCGGGTTTTTAGCCGGGAGTCGGGACCGGATTTTCACGCCTTCGCAGATTTTCGAAGCTTAAAAAAAAAGGAAAAATCGTGAAATAATTCCAAATATTCACATCATCCCGTTTCGTTCAACGGAAATTGCTAAATACGGACGTGAAAATCCGATCCTAACCCGTCACGTGACCGTCGCAGGTACCGAGCCCCCGAGGTGCTTCTCCGCTCGACGAGCTACAGCAGCCCGATCGACATCTGGGCCGTGGGCTGCATCATGGCCGAGCTCTACACGTTCAGGCCGCTCTTCCCCGGCTCGAGCGAGATCGACCAGATCTTCAAGATCTGCTCCGTGCTGGGGACGCCGGACGAGGTGGGTCTTCGATGGGATCGGCCGCGGATTAACATCGCGTCGATCGGAGATTAAACTTTTTTTTTTGGATTCGGCAGAGGGAGTGGCCCGAGGGTCACCAACTGGCGAAGGCGATGAACTTCACGTTCCCGACGTTCTCGCCCACGCCGCTGCACAAGATCGTTCCTCAGGCCTCGTCCGAGGGCGTGAGGATCATGGAGGAGATGCTGAGGTACAACCCGACGCACCGGCCCAGCGCTCAGAATTGCATCAGGTTCGGCTGTCCCTCGGTTTCGGGTCTGGGTTTCCAAGGCATTTTCCGTCGGGGACGAGTTCGTCTGCGATTATGGGATCGAGGGGCATGCGGTGGGCCTGATCGATCGGATTAAATTTTCATTTTATGCTTGGAATATAGAGGGAGGTAGCGGTAAACAGGATTTCGCGTGCTTTCGTTGCACGATTCCTCGTGGAATCATGAATAAATTGAGGTCCTCGATGGATTGCAGGCATCCGTACTTCAAGGTCGGAGGGTCGAGACTTCAAGGCGGGGATTCCATGACCAAGAGGTCCGTGTCCATGAGGCGGTACAGCGAGGAGCCGGACGAGGAATTCGACAGCATCGCCAGGTGAGGAAAAACGCAAAAATTTGGGAAAATGTGGGTTCGTCCGGTCGATTTTTCACGCTGGGCTTTTTTGCGTCTGGCAGGAAGGTGCCGGCGGGTCCGGCGTACGTGAAGAGCCAGACGGTGCCGGGGCCTTTCGGGTCTGCGAAGCAGCGATACCTCAACAATTCCCGATACGTTGCGGGGCAGAACACGAAGCTCGCCATCAGTAATAGCAGATTACGGGACTCCAGTGAGCATTTCGCATTCCTCGAGCCGTGATGCATGCGAAAGCGTCTTTCCTCTCGGTCCTTCTTCGTTCGAACGTCATAGAAAATACGCCGAGGGAATGAGCATGTCGCAGCTCCGCCCGTTAAATAAGAGAAATGAATCGAACGAGAAACAGTAGAGAGAAAAAAATACCCCTTTGCCCCCTCACTTTAACCATGAAAAGTGCGAGGACAATTGTTTCTTCCCACATTGCCCCCTTCATTCCCCACTCTTCCTAACCCCTTGGGTCCGCTCCTGTACAAATACAAGAAAAATCCCATTGGGGATTGCGGGCTCTCCCCGCAATGCGCCGATACACCTCACGAATGACGCCCGACATCCTCAAGTACGACGCGAGGCGGTCCGGACTATAGAGACCAGCGCCTCTCGCTCCCTCATCGCTTTCATTCACCCCGTTCACGACGACGAGAAAGTACCCTCATTGTTCCCCACTGGGGACAACTCGTCTCGCATTAACCATGTAACGAACGGAACTCGGGCTGTCGCGTTCAACTCTGCTTCATCTCTTCGTTCTTTCGAAAAGAATCTCTTCCAGATGTTTTACCGAATTACTATCTCGTGTCTTTCATGAAAATACGCCGTCTTTTCAAGTTCACGGCGCAGCCAACAAAAAAATGGCTAAATTTTTGCATTCGGTCCGTTGGATCCACAACTGTGGTTACAGGGTTGATAGAGGGTAGTTGCTGGAGGGTACCTTTCTCAACACTTATTCTCATGTACTTGGAGCGAATATGGGAGTCCCCAGAGACGACACAATAATGCACCATAATGACGACACCCACGACTTACCGATCGGGTCGATGCCGAGTCGCGTGGCTCCATTCATTCTCTTCCACTTCTGAGAGCTGCTTTTTGCAACGAAAAAAGAAAAGACCGACGAATACCGATATTGCTTTCGATTTCCACGCTTCTCCGTTCCCCTCTCTTCCAGTGATGAACGGATTCATGAACGAGAGCGGGAGATCCGTGATGGCCGGGAATTCCTTCGCATCCGCGAGGTCAAGTGCCAACCCAGAGGGCAGGACCAATTGGGCCCACAAGTAGACACCTTTTTCTACCTAAATTCCTTTTCCCACAGTTTCTTCGCCGATGCTAATCAATGTATTACTGAAGGTAATTGGGAAAGGTAATTAGAAAAGGGTATTACGTCGCTTGTTCCGGAGAGGCTGCGGGTTCGATCGATGCGGAAATTCCTGTTCCTCACGGCTTTCCGTTTCGATCGTAGCAATTATTTGGAGAGGCTCGTCAACGGTGTCAATTTCATGCCACCAAGTGCTTTAATGTCAAAGTTTCAGCGGAATTTCCTGCGATGAAACGTTAGACTTTCGTCGAAATATAAACGCTTTTTTTCTGGTGTGTATCTCCAGCGGCTTGGTGGAATAAAATCCTGCAATAATTATCGGACAACCTGCAGTCGAAGAATTTCCCCGTATTGTTTCTCTTATCGCCGCTTCAGTCCTTGTGGAAATTCTGCATTCCTTTTTTGTGCAAAATTGGGAATTTCACGTCCTTAACGCTCCCCAACTTTTACTAGAAACTATGAGCGTGGCAAGCTCTATATCATTCAGCTTTGCAAAATAAAAAAAAGCTTTATATTAAAATATGCAAAAAACCTAAAGTTAAACAGTCTGGAATTAGTCTTGATTCTCTCCAGTTTTTGTCTTTGTCGACGAAGGCGATAACATAAATTTTTTTTTTTCCCAGGTACCTGAAGTGAAGAGTTGGATCCGTTTCCTGGGTGGAATTCCCGAGCCCTTCCCATTTCCTTCTTGGTATCTTGACCGTTCCGCAGCATCGGACTGAATCCTTTCTATCTCGAGAAACAGTATTCTTGCGTCGGTCTTTTGCTGTCTTGAGGATGTTGTTGCGTTCAGGGGATTTCCATGTGTTTCTAAGGGAATAAATTCGTCTATGTTCACAAGAGTGAGATCCTTCGTGTTCGCGCCAGCACCATCGATCGGTGCTTGCAGTAACTAAATTGGAGATATGTGTTGCCCGAAAAATGTTTAATGGGTTACACGTTTCTGGGTGGAGCAAGGCTCCTTTTGTGATTTTTGTACACCTTAGGAAATATTCCTACAGATGCAAATGGATTGCATGAATGTATCTTCAACTTGGAACTACTATCCTAAAGGCTGGACGCTTCAATTTGAGTCACCACATTAGGATGGAAAATGCAGCCCACGTATCTAAAAATAAAGAGAAAAAAAAGAAGAAGAAAAAAGAGCTGACTGCTACAATAACAATTCACTAGACTGTACATAGGACCTAATAATCACTTTTCACAACCAGATATCCATCAGCTTCATCCATGCCAATGATTCCTTTTTAAAAAAATGTCAGAGTTTATTGAGGTTGAAAAGTCTGTTCTTTTTTTTGTAAGACAGTCAATGAGGCGCGAACAGAAATTGAAAGACAATGATGGGAATTACTTGTAAAAAAAAAAAGAATTAGGAATAGGAAAAGTAGGAATAGTAGTTTTAAAAAAAGTACTTGATATGAGGATCAATTGAAACATTAAGCTCTGAAGTCATATTTTAAAAAAAGCTTTTGAATTTTTCACAAGGCACAAAGGGAGAAAATTTGATGGAAATGGACATGCCCAAACCGAGACATCATCTCCTGCATTGCAAAAAAAAATCCAGATTAACCCATATCATCACACACTTCAAACTTCATTGGTTGCCAATCGATTGTAAACCTCATTTTGGACATTAATAACCCAATGGAAACTAATGCATGAATCACACAAAGGAGGAGTTCAGCAAATGACTTCAGTAATCTAGGACAGATTGAACGACATTGAAGAAAAGGAAAGTGGCAGCCTCAACAAATCCTGATACTTTTTGGGGGGCAGAACACGAAGCTCGCCACAGTAATAGCAGATTACCGAACTCCAGTAAGCATTTCGCATTCCGTGAGGGGTGATGCATGCGAAAGCGTCATTCGTATCGGTCCTTCTTCGCTCGAACGTCATCTGAGTTCTGGAAAGTTTGGGGAGGGGGAACGACTCGGGACAGGGAAAATACGCCGAGGGAATGAGCATGTCGCAGTTCCGCCCGTTAAATAAGAGAAATAAAATCGAACGAGAAACAGTAGACAGGCAAAAAGTCCTCTTGTCCCCTCATTTTAACCATGAATGGTGCGAGGACATTTGTTTCTTCCCCCCATTGGCCCCTTCATTCCCCACTCTTCCTAACCCCTTGGGTCCGCTCCTGTACAAATACAAGAAAAATCCCATTGGGGATTGCGGGCTCTCCCCGCAATGCGCCGATACACCTCACGAATGACGCCCGACATCCTCAAGTAAGACGCGAGGCGGTCCGGACCATAGAGACCAGCGCCTCTCGCTCCCTCATCGCTTTCATTCACCCCGTCCACGTCGACGAGAAAGTACCCTCATTGTTCCCCGCTGGAGGCAACTCGTCTCGCATTAATCATATAACGAACGGAACTCGGGCGGTCGCGTTCAACTCTTTTCTTCGTCTCTTCGTTCGTTCGTAAAGAATATCTCCGAGATGATTAGCCGAATTACCATCACGTGTCATCTTGAAAATTCGCCTAGTAATAGACTTTCCGAGTTGACGGCGCAGCCCACAAAAAATGGCTAAATTTTTGCATGGGGTCCGTTGGATCCACAACTGTGGTTACAGGGTAGTTACAGAATAGTTGCAGGAGAGTACCTTTCTCCACACTTATTCTCATGTACTTGGAGCGAATAGGGGGATGCCAATAACGACACAATAATGCACCATAATGACGACACGCACGACTTCCCGATCGGGTCGATGCCGAGTCGCGTGGCTCCATTCATTCTCTTCCACTTCTGAGAACTGATTCTAGCAACGAAAGAAGAAAAGACCGTCGAATACCGATATTGCGTTCGATTCCCACGCTTTTCCGTTCCTCTCTCTTTCAGTGATGAACGGATTCATGAACGAGAGCGGGAGATCCGTGATGGCCGGGAATTCCTTCGCATCCGCGAGGTCAAGTGCCAACCCAGAGGGTAGGACCAAATCGTCCAGCAAGAAAATCTTCATGCCTCAATAATTTAGTTTCGTCGTGACAGCTTCTTTTGCGCAATTTCTTCGTCGGTGATAATTAATTTATTACTTAAGGTAATTAGAAAAGGCAATTGCATTGCTCCACCCGGAGTGGTTCCAGGTTTGATCGATGAGGAAATTCCCCTTTCCTCGGGCAATCCGTTCCGAGCGACGCAACTGGAGAGGCTTTTCCATGGCACTAAATTCATGCCATCAAGTACCTTAAAGTACTTTCAACGGATTTACCTTACGATGGGACGATCGCAGAAACGAATGAAGTCATAGAATTAATTTCCGCATGAACTCTCGAATAAGCTCCTTTGAAATGCGTGAGGTGCTGGAAACTTAGTGTGTTCCAAGATTTTCTGTGATTTCATTCCACCGTGGAAACCAAACCGTTGAAGAAGCATGCGCGAAAAGAAATCTCGATATTTAGGTGAAAGTCTAACGTCATCGACGAAGGCGATAAAAGGAAATTGCTTTTCTTTTCACCTGAAGTGAAGAATCGGATCCATTTCCTGGGTGTCTTTCGCATGTCCTTCAAGAGCCCTTCCTGGTATCTTGACCGTTACATAGCATCGGACTGAATCCTTTCTATCTCGAGAAACAGTATTCTTGCGTCGGTCTCTTGCTGTCTTGAGGATGTTGTTGCATTTAGGGGATTTTCATGCGTTTCTATGGGAATAAAATCGTCTATGTACACAAGAGACTCCTTCAAATGCAACATTGATTGCATGAACGTGTCTCGTTGGAACTACCATTCTAAGAATTGGACACTGACAATTTTGAACCATCACATTCGGATGGAAAATCCAGCACTGGAGTCTATCATTAAAAAAATACTGACAACTACAATAATTCTCTGGAGTGTGCATTGGACCCTATGGTGACTTGTGCATGAGAAGCAAAAGAACTGACAGATGCTTTCTGATTTTTTTGGCATTCAGTGAAGACGGATTCTGTACTGAAAATATCAAGAATTTTCTTTTAGCTCTTTACTTCATAGGTTAGTTCTTTGCAAGGACGGAAAATTTAGCTTTCATCCTGTGCAGACAATCAGCAGAATTTCGCTCCTATGCCTGATCTTGTAACACTGAGCAAAAGGGACATCATGTTGATCAGAAAGAACAAGAAAGGCACAGACATGCATTACCGCATATGCCCTGCACTTTCATCCCCAAAATTCTATTGTGTGGTGCATGGTGTCAAGATTCTCTCCAAATTTAAGAATAAAAGTACAGGTATGTTGATGTGGTGTTGCTGTATTTCCTCTTGTTTATCATGTGCGGAGTGCAACCCAACTGGATCAGTGCCAGTAGGCTCAACCCTCCAGCACAAAGGTGACATAGGCTGGAGTACATGAACAGCCGTGTGATGGTGCAATATATAGATAAAGCAGAGGATTTTTACCTCCAATGAAAGGGATATGAAGATCCTGAAAAGGCACAAATTCAACTAGACATTCATCACCTTCATCCATGTCAATGATTACATGATTTCTTTAGAAAATTACAGAGTTTACTTAGGTTGAAAGCCCGTTCTCACTTGTCAATGACATGATGACAGAAAATGAAAGACAATGATTTATAATTTAAAAAAAAAGAGGAATGGGGGAAAAAATGTGGAAAAAATGTAATAAGACGACCAATTCAAATGTTCCACTCTGATGTCACATTATGGAAATCAGCGTTACAATATTCCACATAGCACAAAAGGACATAATTTAATGGAAAAAGACATGCCCAAACCAAGATATCATCTCCTGCAGTGCAAAAAAGCCAAATTAATCCATTTCATCAAACATTTCAACCTTCAATGGTTGCCACCCAATCCTATACCTCAATTTGAACTTTGTTTTCATTTGGTTATTGGAGACCTAAGGCAAATCACACAAAAGAGTTCAGCAAATGCCTTAAGTAGCTCAGGCCTGAATTGTAAAAGCAGCCGCTCAAACATCACTTGACCATGAACAAAAACACAGCAGAAAAAAATTGCAACACTAGGTCTAAGGATTGAAATATACAGCTGTCAGCTTTTACACTCTTCCACCTTAGGTTTGGAATGTGACATTTTGTGGAAACACACTCAATATTTTAAAATATCACAAAGCCTATAAAAAAATTTTTTTCCTTCTTTATGCTTTGGAGTTTCATGCTCAAAATGCTTTTAGATTCACTGCATGAAATATTTTTCAGGCATCAACACCAAAGGGAAGAAAAGGGTTTGGAAGCAGGTTTACACAGATGGATGACAAAAATAACTAATCCATGAGATCTGTCAGCCTCTTGGCCTAGCCCTTGAGGTTTTAATTTTATCCTTCCTAATGTCTAACTTTCCTATTGACCTATTTACAAGGTGACAATTTCAACATCTGATATTTGACTTATGTGCAATGAAAGAGGGACAACTTGTTGCACATTGAAAGACATTGGAGAACATAGGAGTACATTGCACTGCATTGGAGAAAACTTGAATATGAACAGAGCCACATCTGACAAAGGAATGATGAAAGCTCAAGAAAAGCCCAACAATGAACATAAGAACCAGCTCCATAGGAAAACAAAAAAACCCTAAAATAAAAAACATACAAAACATACAAAAATAACATTCCATCTTAGGAGTGTGTTCACATCCTGGAGGAAAGGGAAAAGTCTGAACCATGCCTTGTGAGAGCCATGGAAAGTAATAAAAAAAAAATAAGCCCAACAGATAAAAACAACTAAGGCCCAAAGGGTGGTAAGTTGCGATTTATATTTTAATGGTAACATGCAGGCTTATTGCAAGTAAAATACTTAGATTCTCCCATCATCACTGCATGACAAGTAATGTACTCCTGACATGCATCACAGAACAATGCCTTTTTAAGGACCATGAGGGATGCCAATTACACCAATATACCACACTCGAAAAAGCCAATATCTGCTATTATGATCATTTTCCTAGGATCCTGTCATTCATATTAACTCAAATAGAGAAAGGAACACATCAGTGGCAAGGTTCCAGCTGAACAATGGCTTGAGCAAACTGGTTCCAAAGATTCCGGTTTTGAATGCAAGCCGTTCCTCCACCTCGCTTCTCTTGTGCTGCCTAAATAAATATTTTTAAAAATTCATACAACTGTTGCTTGCCTTACATCAGCAGAGAAACCTCAAGGTGTATGAAGAAAATGCACACAGGACATGATTGAGCTCAGTTGAAAAAGACAACCATGCAAAGGCTGTTACCATGCGGTTGATGTCCCCGATGCAAACCCAAGGGGTGGATAGGTTGCTGGAGATGGCCCATTTTGAGTGGTCCTCCTTGGTCATGTAACTAACCCCAGGGAAGGGGAAACTCAGCTCCTCTATATTCAGCACCCTAGTCCAGAAATTCACCCAGTCACAACATGAAAAATCTTCATTGCTTCACAGAAGGCAACATAGTTTAAACTTTACAGCAGAGGTGTCAAACTCAATCAAGCTGAGGGCAGGATAGAACCCTTCAGGGGCAGTTGGAGGCCACACTCAAATATTAATTTATCTCATCTTAAATTTTAAAATGAGGAGGTTGGAAGAGGATGAAAGTGGGCTGCAATTTTCCTAAACTAACTTGTGAAGAGGACTTCATGGGCTGGATGAAATAGACTATTGGGCCAGCAGTGTGACAACCCAGCTCTAAAAGATAAGTTTTACTCTTTGCTCTCCCATTTTGTATTCAGCAGTAAGATCAAGTTTAGCACAATCAACTTTTCAGCTAAAATTAAAAATAAGAAATTCAATTTAACTACACAGTTAACATTATGTAACTCCTGGTTCAGTTTGTAACATGTAAAATGCAATGATCAGCAAATTAAATAATAAGATTGTCTCTTGAGTACACAATCATGTAGAAGCAAGCAATAATTATCATGAGGCAAGCATTCAATCAAATACTTCTTGGAAAGAAGCAGCATAGGAACTAGGTAAATACTATGAATGATGACTTTTGGCTTACTTGTATGGATCCTTGCAGTCACTAGGCAATGGATTCCTCCCATTCATCCATGTCTGAGTGAAAAGACCTGCATGCAAGGTTGGTGCCACCAGTGCTCCATACAGTTCTGCATTGCAAAGTACAAACCTAATATTCATGAGCATAGCAATGATACATACAACACAATACAGATCCCTCCAAGTTCAAACACTCAGCAGTGTATATTCCTGAGAGTCTTTCCAGAGAGAATGAATTATGACAACATGCCAAGGTATACAAATTGACAGACCTTTCCATGAACAATCCATGGTTGTTGATAAAAGAAAAAATCAGGGCATCATCAAACAAATGGTAAACTCTTCCTGGAGAGTGTTGCATGAAAGAATTTATAGGTGAAACAGGAATAATAATTCAAAACTATCTGCAGCTACATTCTGCCATTGTGTCCTGAGAAAGGAAAAAGGTTCATGTGATGAAAGCAAGGCACTGACCATTGTGATAACGGGCATCCTTGGCGAAGCTGATGAATGGGTCACCTTTCAATGTCTGGAGTTGGACATGTCGGGACCAAGGGGGATTCATCACAGTAGTGTTCTTCACAACTGCTGCAAGGTTTGGGTATCGAGTTTCCCAGCCTGCTGGGACATTTGCCTCATAGATGTACAGGTCATTGTACAGCAGCTGCATCCCTATGAACACGTGTTCTCCATCACCAACCCGATGACATCACAATCATCATGAGAAACATTTACCAGGATTTGGCATTACAAAAAAAGAAATAACCAAGATACAATAACAATTCCTAGAAATTTCCTAATGGGACTGAAGGGGAAAATTTTTTTGAAGGTGTTTAAATGCAACCAGTACTCCCAAGTATCCAGACTCTCATCATGACATTCCCATTGTCAAAAGTCTATGTTGATCATGAGAATATAGATTTTTTCCTCAGAGAGGATACAGAAATAATATATATTTTGATTAAATCTGATATTACAGCCCCAATGTTCCAAATTGTAAAATTGTTTGGACCGATTCCCACATCTCTTCACATCTCTGTTTTGTTACAATTCCTCAATGATAAAAAAAATTTAATATCATCACAATCCATTATTGGAAAATTTTTCATGGGCAGGAATAACATCAAGAAATTTATTAGAATTTGGAAGAAGCACCTTGCAGATGCAGCAATGATAAAATGTGCAGATTGCATGCATAATAAATTTCTCCCTATCAATGAAGAGCTAGAAGGCAGTGAAATTCTCCCTCCCTTCTATAAAGAAAAATCAGAGGAAGAGGTTATTTAGGGTCATTTGAAGAGTCTTAACACGTTCACTGCCACACGACGCACATGTGCATCACGCTGCTCGTGCTCTGGGAGCCAGATGATGCGCATGTGCATCACCCAGTTGTCAGTTTTGCCTGTCTGAACTGGTCAGCACTAGTTGTATTCCTTCTTGCTTCAGTGGCACTTGGATTGAGGTTCAAGTTATTTGTGTGCAAGCTTGGTTTTCATCCCAGAGGTTTTCAAAGTGTGGTATCATGGGTGATAAAATTGACATGATTCCGGGTCCTTCGCAGCCAAAGCTACCATGACATGATGCAGATAGAGGATATAAGGAAGATGAAAAATTGCTGATCTATTAGAAGCAATATCCTTCTATTCTGACAGTGACCTCAACATTTCTAGTGATAGTGTTAGCACCATGAAAATGGCTCTCCTACCAGTGAAGTTACTTCTACACCTGCCCGATCCTCAAGCCCTTCTTGGTCAGATGGATCTCCTGTGATGAAAAATTTTTTTTTACTGGTGTGCCTGGGCTGAAAACTGAAGTTGGTGGTAATGAACCAATAGATTTTTTCAACATATTTGCCTGTGACAAGTTTTATGATCTTCTCTTAAGAGAAACTAATATGTATGATAAGGAAGTATATCTTGCTGGAGTTGAGAAGCAGTCAAGGATAAATGATTGGAAAGATGTTACTGTAGCTGAAATGAAAGTCTTTTTGGGTCTTCTATTTCATATGGGAACAATCCAAATGCTTCATCTCCAGGATTGCTGAAAAATTGATCCACTCTTCAAAATGGAGTGTTTCTCTTCAAATATGAGTAGGAATCGCTTTCTAATCATTTTACGATGCCTCCATTTTGCCACAAACCCGAAACCTGGGGATTCCATTCCTGCTGATCGCTTAGTGAAGATAAAGCCTCTTATTAGACCTGTTCAACAATACCATTGATTGTGTATACTACCCAGGCAAGGGCCTTTCACTTGACGAATCAATGGTTTTGTGGAGGGGGTGATTGGTTTTCAGGCAGTACATTAAAGGCAAGAGGCACAAATATGGTATAAAGTTATACATGCTGACAGAACCCTGGACAACTGGATGATCTAGGTGGGAAGGAACATGCTGCAAATGTTGTTCTCAATTTGATGAATGAAAACACTGGACATTCACTCTACATGGATAACTTTTACAACAGTTATGATCTAGCGTTATGGCTGCTGCATGCTAACACTTACTGCACTGGAACACTACGTGGTGATCGTAAGAACAACCCCACACAAGTGACCAAATCAAAACTTTCAAAGGGTGAATGTAAATGTCAGCATGCCAATGAAGTGGTTGTGACAAAATGGAAGGACAAGAGAGATGTTCTGTTCATTTCAACAGAATTTGACGATGTCATGGTTGATACAACTAATAAGAGAGGTCAAACAGTAAAAAAGCCTAAAGGAATACAACAATACAACAAGTACATGTCAGGTGTTAATTGGCAAGATCAATTGCTGTCATATTATCCTTGTGAGAGGAAAACTATTTGGTGGTACAAGAAAATAGGGATACACATATTCCAAATGATGATGCTCAATGCATACAACCTGCATTGCATATACTCTGGAGAAAAAAAATCATTGTATGATTTCAGGCTTGCAATTATTCGGCACCTATTGTCTTCATACAATACTCCAACAATGAAGCATAAGTCACCAGCCATAAAAAATCACCTGCCAGCTAAGTGCAAACCTAATGAGAAAGCATTGCAAAGTGTGCTTTGATAGAGGACAAAGAAAATATTCCATTTACTATTGCCCCCATTGCCCAGGAAAATCCTGCACTTTGTTTGGAACCATGTTTTAGGCAGTTTCATCAATAAAATAAATATATTTGCTTGCGTTCATGTTTTCTTGCCTAAAATTAGTGCATATCAACAACAGAAACTAAATGTGATTTTATCTAAGAGTGTCATGTGCTAATCACACATCGGCTCCTGAGGTCAGTCATCAAATTTGTTAAGGCAGCAGTGAACGTGTTAAAGGCATAATAAATTTCCTCTCTTAGCAATTCTGACATTCTCCCAACTGAATCATACATCTAGAACACTCTAAGTGATATTTCTACTAGCTTCTCCTTAATATTCATTTTCAATCATCTCTCTCCAAACCTCTCCTAACATGAATGGTTCCAGGCATTTGATACTGTTACTCAGAGAACAATCACAGCTAAAACTTTTAAATGATACACATTAAGGCATGACTTAGGTGAGATATCTTATGAAGGACTGAAAGTATGCACAAGCTGGGCAATGTGCACTCATCCAAGATCATTGGATCTGTGTGATCATCCCTGAAAGAGAAAATAATTGTTTGCTACTTCAGAGACAAAACTGACTGAAAGGTGAGCTTGATAAAGCAAAATAATGGCAAAACAGAATAAAATAATTACCATGTTCTTTCATTTCATTCTGAACCCATGAAAAACCAAAAGAGAAAATGGAATCAAGTAGACAATTAATAAATAGGTGGACTTCATTGCCAGACTGAGCAAATACAATAGACCCATATTTACACTTAGTAGTTTCTGAAACATCTGTCTCAATCAGAAGACAAAAAATTTTATAAATGAAATTAGCTAGGTTATGCAGCATCACTAATGATGAGCCTTGCCTACATATGAACCTCCAAAATTAATCAATGCAGAACTAGAAGATACAAACAGGCTTGAAGATATAGTACTGGAACATGAAAGGCTTATAGTACAGGTCTACAACTTATAGTACTGGTACAGGCTTATAGTACTGGTCTACAACCTGACCATAGTCTCTGAAGATTAATTCCTTGGTTCCCCCCACCCTTCAGAATTTATTCAAGGTGACCTGAAGTGGCCCTCAGAATCCATTCCAGGAGACCAGTAGCAGTTGCTCTCATAATTACTATAGGTGGCTGGAAGTCTCTGAAATCATTCAAGGAGACCTCAAGCAACTTTATATAATTTATCTAGGGTCGTCATGTGACTACAATTAGGGTGGCCCAAAGCAGTCTTAAGAATTAATTTGGGATGATGTGAAGTACCAATGAGAAAACACTCACCAATGTCATCAGCTTCCTTCTCACTGAATGAGATGCAGAAAAAGGCTTGCCCATTTAGGTGTCCTGAACTAGGATACTGATACCCTTCTTTGGATTCAGTTGGGAAATGGGGGATACTGTGGATCAACCAAAACCCAGAGCCTGTAGGACCGAGGACAAACACACCCTTAGTGTGTCCCTTGTCAAAGGACACCTTTTTGTTGGGTGGTTGATCATTGTACAATATGTATAGTAGTTCCTGCAAATAATGCCAAAATGGCAACATATCAAAACAAATCAAATGTAATGCCATACAATGCCACACTGCCAACCAGAAAACAGCATTTTTTCATAATCAAGTGATAGTCCCATACTTTCCCTTGGGAGAAAAAGGATTAAATTACTGGAAATGCAGGAAAGAAATTGTAAGTTATTATACCTACCAAAGAAAATCCATTGACTTTTTTTTTCTTGTGCCCTTACATTTGTCATTGTGCTCTCCTGCAAGTTACACACTATTGGATAACTTATGACATATATGTACGATATGCAGAAAAAGGCACATGGAGCCTACTGGAGGTCAATGCACCATAGGCAAAGCACGAAGATAGCACACCATTTCCTGCATAGTGTACATTAAGAATGCACTTATCTAGGTGTACCCAATACCGATGCCAATACCGCTACTGCCCAGTGGCAGTGAGAAGTTAAAATCGAGAGAAAAAAAAAATTTATTCCCGCGAATCTGAGGTGACAAATTAGAATTACCTGGGAAATATAGCGAGCAAAGCAGATCTGAGCCAGGCAGCGTTAACATCTACGTGTGGATTCCAGGTAATAGTACGATAACGGCATACGATCATACGACGAAGCGCATACACTGTTTTCGGATTGAATTGGAACCCCCCCCCCCCCTAGGAGCGCTTCCATCAAGTACAGGCAGGACATCTTGTGAATGGAAGGTGAAGTATTAATAGGATCATCCAACAACCATGTGGAGCATCAGGCTTGACATCTTGAGGATCATCTGGAAAGCTTAGGTTTTCTCCGTTCTCCACAATAGGGGGGTACCAATTCAATCCGAAAACAGTGTATTCGAGAAGACAGCGGAGAATTGGGCGATTCTAATTCACTAGACCGAGCCTCTTGATTGGAGCTTAGACCCCTCGATGACACACGATAGGGTCGCGAGATTCGTGAATTCCCGTTCCCAGTAGCCTACAGTGAATCCCGTGAACAGGCTTCACGGTCGCAGCTCCAATCGTATTCGGGAAATGCAAGAATCGTAACGGCTGTCAATCCTTAACGGAAGGTATCTGAAATTCGATATTCCTCAATGCATTGAGTTGAAAATCCCAGTTATCACCCTGGCCCTGCCAATGCCCTTTTCCGAGCTCACCTAATCTGAATGAATATAAATTTTAAAAATATTTTCTTATCCATTTCTTCCCATCGCATTTCCCGGGAAAAGGCATCTCCATCCTAGCCTGCCAGAAGTGAAACGATCAAATCCCTGGCTTCCCAAGATTTTATTCTAGAGATGGAGATACGCAAGAGAGATTTACTCATTTTCTAAAACGTGAGCAAGTCAAATATTTTCCTAATTCAAGTTATTCCTCTCGGCAAATGCCACCAGAGCAACAAAACTCTCTGGCGCACTAGATGGAGAAATCACGTGTGTGGCAGTGGACAATCGGATCGGATCGGATCCTATTGGTATGGGCAGAAACCGATCCACTTGACACCGGCTGTAACCGATTCTTCGTATTGGTAATCAGTGCATTCCTAGTGGACTCCATGGCTACTTGCATCAGGAGCATACTCGTTTTATTGGAAGGAGAACATCTGACCACCAGTGCGAGTGGACAGCCTAATTTTTGCCAACAAGGTGAAGAATGGCCATTCATGAGTTGAAGAATGATATTATTTACATATATTTGTTAGTTAGCTCATTTGTGAGATGCACTCAGGATGCCATACTTTCATGCTTTTTGACTCCCAACCCTCAACCCCTTCCCAAACCCTTTATTAGGTAGACTAACGTTTTGAGTAGTGCATCCTGGGCTCATGACCTTACTTTTGTAACTTCTGCAAAATAGGTGTTCTTTCTCTAGCATAAAATTTATATCGAGTAGCACCCTTCTATACAATACAATACAACTATATTCATACTTCTGCAAGTATTTACATTTACTTGTAGCACAAACGTTTCCAAAAACGGAATAAATCTTACTTGTTGGAAGATTGGAATTTTCCTAAGTTTAGCGTATAACCTAATCACTTCATCAATCTTACCAAATTTCAAACTGCTTAGTTCACTGATGTTGCAATTCAAATCTAGGGTTAGAATTTGAATGATTAGAACCTGATCAGAATCTAAATGAGATTAAATTAATATTTAAGTCAACACACCTCTGTTTGGGACTTGTCATAGAGGACAGAGAGGGTGTGCCCAGCAATGGAGTCTTTAGAAGTGATGCCCTTGGTTGACAAAATCCAGTTGCTTTTTGGATCAAAGATTTCCATCCCTTGCAACACCAAGGACTTCCCATCAGCCATGTCTGAGGAGATGAAGGCATAGCTGCTCCCTTGTCTCACCAACTTGTTTGAGTGGTTCTTGATCTCCGGAAACTTGTAGGCTACATACCTAAGACAGCAGCAATACAATCTGAAGAATGGTAAGTACTGAAACTATGTGTGTGTAGAATCTCTCCAATGAAAGGAGGCATAATTAAATGATAGGTCCTTGGGACTCCAAAAATAACAGTTAACCCATTCTTCCAACCTTCTTTAGGATTTATGCCAAACATTACAGGCAATTGTCAGCATCTAAAACCTTTGCAACATCTAAGGTCTAAAGATTGGAGAATGGCCAATCAATTAGTAAAATCGTGTTTCAGAATTGTAAAAATACAGAGTAAATATATTATTCTTCAGGTTTCTACAATGGTATTATTCTAGGTATTTTTTAAAATTAGGAATGTACAAATGATTCACTTATGAGAATTGATGAAATAGACAACAAGTACTTACCAGTCAACTTCTTTGCCATTTTCATCCATGCATTGCACAGACAAGGCCCTTGTCTCTATGACCAGGGACAGCATGAAAACATAAATGCCTACAATATACATTGTCTGGTACCTGGAATGCTAAGCCAATTTGGAGAGAAAACCAAATATATACCTCTCAACTTCAAAGAAGGAAACTAAGCATTTCCCTTATTGTTTCTGATGCAGGGATCTGACATGGGGGATGGGTGATGTGGTCATGAAATGCTGTTACAGAAGCTGTAACTTATGGGTTTTGAAAAAGGTCACATGATTTCACTGGAAATACAGAATGGCCTGGAAGCTTCCTGGTTTGAATGCTGAGGATATACTGAAAGAGCAAGTTGAGGCTCTTGTGTACACAAAGGATATGCAACATCAATTCCCCCAGGTAACAATGCAAATAGTGCTGAAGGGCATGGAAGGCAACAAGGAACTCTCAAAATCTCATCACCTCACACCACCCACTTTGAAACTACTGTGGAAGCAGAGGGGGGCACAGAAATGATGAAATGTATCAGGTTGTAAGGGTGAAATTTAGACATTTTCCAGAAAACAATTTATTGACAATTAACTCAACAACGACTAGAGTGCAGTCTTGCGTCAATGTATCTGTCGTAGGTTCACGATAAGCACTCACGCCCACAATGCCCACTGGTCACTCTACTTATACACCTACATAGAAAGTTCTAACATTTTCCAGATTTTTCTAGAAAAAATCAAAATGTCTAAATTTCACCTTTACAACCTGATAGATGATTTGATTGAAAAAAATAAGTTCTTTCTCATGGTGTATCAGTTTCTTATTCTGGCTCTTAGAATTTAGGCTGTAGAAGTGGTGAGGGGGGATCTCTGCAATACTCAGTGGATGCCATTCCTTGAACACTTGAACTACTTTCAGAAAAAGCACAGTTCATCACCTCAAGACCCAATTCAAAAGCACTGACCCTTAAAGAAGTTTTAATCATAGAGATACATGCAAAGATCCAGTAATAATATTTAAAAAAAACAGTGTCCCAGCCTTTTCTTTTAGGTCAATCACTTGCCATGACTTTGCTCATGAAACGAAGCTGAACAGGGAATTTAAGTATGTAAGGAATCCTTTTATTCCAATGACATTCTTACAGGCAAACAAACACAATTCCTGCATGTGTGTAAAAACATAAATGCAGCTTTTCAAAGAAAGAACTCTCTATAAATTAACATTGACCATTGGGGTGTAGCACATTTCATAATGCACTCATGAATGCTGCAATATAGGATGAAATTATATTTCAATCTCAACATGTTCAGGCTTAAAGAACTGAAAGTCTATGAGCCATTTTCTCCTGCTTGCTGCACATAGACACAGGCAGCTACAGTGGACTTCATCTGAAACTGCAGGAATCTGGTAATACAGAAGGCAGAATGACAAATGGTCTTCATCCATTGTCCATAGCCTTCTTTTAGTAAATCATCATATTCATAACATGAAAGGCAATGTTTTCCAAAACTGCCATGAATACTTAGTTTCCTTAAACAGGTTGACCACCATCGGGTGCACTGGTGCACCCCATGCTTCATCTTCTCCAAGGGATGTAAAAATTTATTTTGGCCCAGGAAAGTCACCAGGCCAATATGGTCATGGTGGTCAATGCGTTAAAAGAGAATATACCAAGTGGCAAGCTTGAAAAGGATATTGACACTATGGTTGTATTTTGAATCATTTATTCATTTAATTTTTCAAAACAAGGGTGGCTTAAAATACTCCACAAATTTCTGACAGGGTGCAAATCTGACAGCAGGAATAATAAACAAGAAATGCTGATTTGTCTTTTTCTCCCAATTGAACGATTCTATGAACTAATCTTTTTTTTTCCCCAATTGAATTATTCTATCAACTATATCCCACAAAAAGACTATATTTCCCTTGAGGTAGGGATCAGACTCAGAATGGCACATGTAAAATCTACTTGACCAACTCCCCCAGCCAAAGAGATCGTCAGAAACAGCTATATACAGTGATTGCTAATACACATGCAATGCCATTTGTCTCTAAAAGGAAATGAGGATGGCCTGCATCTAAAGGTTTATTTGACCTGGGGTTCTCAGGGTTTGCCCCATATCTCTAATTATGTCCTTACTTTGTCTCAGGAAATAGTGTGTAGTATCACAAGTGAGGATCAATCCTCATTTCTCAAGCCTATTAGCAAATCTTTAGATTGACCATTGTTTCTGCTCTCTTTTACAACAGTCTGAATACAAAGGGAATACAAAGCATCTGACATCACAGAAACATGAATCCCCCTGGCGTGAATCATTATAAATATTGTTTCAAGACTCATAAAAATAAATTTGGCCAATTTGAATGAATAGAGAAATGATATAGAGCACTAAGTACAGGGATGCCAAGTGAAAGTGAATCACTGGTTTGTACAAGGTGTGAAACTCTGAAACACTGGAAACAAACACATATTGACTGGATTGTCACCTGCAAGTGTAATCTAAATCAATAGGAGGTCACATCAATGCCTCAATGTTGGCTCGAGGATCAATCTGGTGCCGATAACGGTATGCAATCACAACACCAAATATCTAGGGGGAAAAGAGAGATTACATCAAACTTGTGACTTGACTTTGGAGGACTCTTCATAATGTTGCTAAATCCCTTACATCTCCACTTTTACATTTAAAGTCAGACTATACCAGACCTACTATATGTTGGAAACAATCAATAGGGATCATATACCTGTTTTGGAAAAAAGTATATTATATTAAATTGAATTACATGACCTAAGAAACCAAAACTTTTCGCAAGACAAGTCTTATATATGGACATGATTTCAGAATGATCATGGCTGGACTTGATGAGTTTTGTGCAGAATTTAAAACTCCAGCAGTGAGGCATGAAGGCTTGAAGCATGTTTTATATTTTCAAAATTCATTTCATAATGCTGTTGATAGAAATCAGCAGGTTAATTTTGCATCATGCAGATTCATGCCATGCATCTCAAGTTCTTCCAAAGTGAGGACATAAGTTTTCAACAATGAACTCATAGACTCACAGTAGTTCCCAAACCTCCTTTTACTTGCATTGAACCTTCATGAGTCATGTGAGTCATTTAAAAAATGCAAAGCAATCACAATAACAAATGATGCAAAGATTTCATTGGGAACCAATTTAATCAGAGACTGTAGTCTGCTGCTTGCTCACAACCACATGGGAGCATGGCAAAATGGAGCACTTCGTGAGGAGCAATGAACAGATTGTTCATGGTGAATTTTGATACTTCAGCTACAAAATGTACATATTAAGCTACATATGAAGCATTGGCTGACTTTTATTTTTTTTAAATACTTTTGTATTCATCTTGGATATCACATGCAGAAGAACGAAGATCTTGCAGAATATTGAACATGGATATTTAAAATATAAATTGGTACTCTAGGTTTTTTTTTACTTAAAATAAAGTGTGTAAACATAAGCTGGGACTATTTAGATCAAACATTCTGAGAGAGGGAAGCTGCCACTGTCAAGGTCCAATGGATACATGTTAATCTACCAATTCTCTCTGCTATCTATCCTTAATCCGGTGGTGGTATGGTGGAGTGTGACAAACTCCATTCCTTTCTCAGGCCTATATAGGGTCTAATTTTCAATAATATATTTTTTACTGTTCCTACAATATATTTTTGAAGTCATGATATGCAGTTATGATACATAATAAAAAATATATATTCTACAATATTTCTTTTAAGTGCCTATCATAAGTTCATTACAAGGAGATACTTTAATCATTTCAATAGTTTGTAGTAAAAACATGACTTTTCTCATTTCAGGTAATGCTATCACACATTCTTTTGGTTTATGTTCAATAATGGTGTCTGGGGTTTGTGAAACTAATCAGAACAAATGCCAGGTTAACTAATGTCATGGCCTTCTCCACTGCATACCCTGCACAACTGGATCATGCCTGCTGCAGTTATTTTCTTACTAAGGTTAACTATGAACTCAATGGCTGGGACATAATCCGGAGTCAATTTGCAATGATGATGCGATATTACAAGAGAAAGAAGGGAAAAGGGTTTACAATGATCTTAACAAACACAATAACTTCTGGACAGTCGAGCAGAGAGAAAAAAAGAAGAAATCACTGGGACAGATTGAGAAATTTAGAAAAATTGAGAGATGTAGGAGTTCTCTATGATAATAAGAATGCTGCTTTGCTTAAGCCTCCTTGTCTAATTGTATGATAGATGTAAATGTAAATATAGAAAAAATACATACATGACTAAGATAAATGGAAGGTCTCCAATATCAGCTGGCACAAAAAAGGGTCCTGTTTGACATATTCTGAATCTGGCTGCAGGAATTCAAGGTTTTTAAGTTTTTTGCTCCACATTAAAAACAAAAAAATTTTGTTTTATGAAAGTTCCTAGCATCCAAGTTCCAAGTTTGGATAAAAAGCAACAATCACTGAAAATGCCATCAAGAAATGCAACTTTTTTCATGCATGCAGTAGATCAGGGCTTCCCAACCCAGGAGTTGCCAAGGTCATGTTTGTTGTTGTGAACCGGCAACTAAATGTCATGTTATGTTTTCCTTTACAATTTCAGTGCACAGGTGAGAGAGCCTATTGAACTTTGGCCAATGCTTGGGGGTCCTGAATGGTGTGATCGTGACTTTTGGGGTTGCACATGAAAAAGGTTGGGAAGCCATGCAGTAGATGCTGTCTCCAATCAGCTGAAAAGATTTCTCTCATTTAATAGCATAAAAGTTGTTTCATACACTGTGTCCACATCACAGTATTCTTGATAGACATCACCAGGCAAGAGGGTTAGGGCCTGAATTTAATGGCCTGTTAAACACTTTCGCTGCCGAGCCATTTTTTGGAGATCGTTCCCTGAGGCCAAAGTAATCTTCCTAATTCTGGTGTGCATGTCACAAGTGATTCCACGAAATGTGGGGATCCACTGGAGATGATGAATGCATGGGACAACAATCAACAAGCTGTAATAAGGAAACTTTGAGCTTGTCCACAATGACTGCGGGCAATCAAATGGTACCTATGTTGTACCTTTGAATTTCTAACCAATCTTGGAGTGCCATTGCTCCCACATTCTTCACATTCCTTGGACCTCGAACCTTGTGACTTCAGGCCAACTAAAAAAATGAGGTGCCTTTGACGTATGGCTGCCGCTTCAATGACACAGGCGCTTGCCAATCAACGTGTGACCAACGCGTTGGACAAATTTGCCAAGAATGGGTTATAGTCCATTTTAAGCTCTTTACAAACGAAAGGAAATGTGTGTTGCAAGTCAGGTTGAACTAGAGGGTTGACTGGAAACAATTAAGTAACTTTTTTTTGCAAATAAATTCTTCAGCAAATTGATGTGAAAATGTAAGTATACCTTGTTGACAAGGTTCTTCAAGAGCTGTTGAAGTATATGCAACCTTACCCATCTACTCTTGAGTTATGACATATTTAATCAAATTGGTCAAATTTTCTGTGTGGACAGGCATGTGACTGCAGGTATGAACTTGCATTAGATTTTTGCCTAATGAATCAGTTCCTCTGGACAGATCCTCATGAAAAATTAATAGAACGTTGTCAAAAATGTGTACTCAACCATAAAAAGTTCATGCAATTGCATGCATTTTCAGGGTATCCTCATGCAATTTGGATTCATGCCTTGCAATGGCAGTCGCATGCCTGCTTACTCCTTTCTTTACCATTTCAACAAAATATGCCACAACTCATGAATGGGTACCCATAAATTCATATAATTTCAAGAGCTCTAGTAGGCAATGATCCATTAAACTTTCAGGCTAATCAAGTACAAGGTATGGATTCCATAGAAAATTATCAAGTTGCTTTCTTTTCTTGCCATCCATGTATTTTGAAAGGGATCATTCTGAAACAGAGCAGCTGCACATAGTTTGCTCATATGAAAACCAGTTCCAGAAAACCAGAGGAAGAGGAATCAATAAACTTTAAAAAATTGACCCAAATAATCTCACCTTATCTTACATAGAAGGGATAAATTGCCAGAAACCAAATCTGATGACACAAGGCATCTGGAGGCCATATTGAAAAGACTTACCTTCTATGGTATGCAAATCCTTATAACACAGGCAGAGCTTTGTTGGGAAAGAGACATCTGATAGCCTTTTGATGAATTATCTCTGAAAAGTTTCTAGGCTATGCATGTCCTTCAAATGTGAATAGTCAGGAAGATATTCATGCTGTTTACAATAAGATCACAGGCAGTCCCCTGTATGCATGCAAACTTACTCTATGATGCAATTTGCATTGAATTGGGATGTCTTGAGAAATCATGAGATTAGTACTAGTCAGAACCCATGCAGAAGTGGTCAAGGTCACATCCTCTTCAGAATGGCATGAGTATTTAAAAAAATGAGGAAATAAATGATCACATGCAACACTACTTGGGATTAAAGGAGAGTGGCATGTGCTATCTCTAACCTTTCATGCAAAGCCCAAATCATGCATTGTTAAATGAAAAGTAGATGCAGCTAGAATACAAAGGGAATGTTAGGGGAAACCACCTGTGTAAGTAGAAGCCAGGGAGGGCACAAGAGATCCAATGAAAGATGGACAGGGAAGGAGGATATGTGGAATGAGATGGTTAGATAAAAGCGCCAGGGTTCCCACGAGGGTCCTTTAGGTTACGGAAATGCACCGTCAGCCACACCCCTATAAACTGCAGGAAATGGGAGGAAAATATTTCACTTTCCTTCCACTCTTTCTTATCTACTTACATGCTTATTCATTCACAAGCAAGATGAAGAATTGATGTGGGTTAGAAAGTATTGATAATTCAGTTCATGCAAAAAAAAAATCAGACAGTGCAAATTCATGAAAATGGGGAAACTGGCTGAGTCAACCTTGAGTGGACCCTTCTTCAGTACTTGTGTGTTAGACACCAATCAAAACGGTAATAGGTTGGTTTCTTTAAGTGAAATAAATTACTAAGGTATTCATATACTGTATATCAAGCTTCCAAGCACTGAAGATGGTACCACCAAACCATTCACCTCTTTTCTTACACAGACTGGATTAAGCTTCTCAATTTGGGTTATTTGATGAGTTGGCTAATTGCAAGCAGTAAATTATGAGCTCTGGAGAAAAGCTTAATATTTTTGTGGAGTTTGGTAGTAATCTGATTAGTTGATTAGATGAAACTTCCAGACACCAAAGAAGGCTACCAATGTAAACATCTGCCTCTATTCTTAGGAAATGTCTCTTCCCTGCATACCTTGCCACTGAAGCTACCAGATATATGGAAGCTTAAGTAAAAAATATCTCAAAACTATGGGCTTCAATTGGCAAACAAATTTGCTCATTTTATGCATGAAGTGGATGCTTCAGGTGATTAGTTTTTTTTTTCAAAGGCATTACGTGAGTTGGTGGTTCTGAGCCATGCAATTATTTTTGTTATCAATACATGTACCTATCACATTACATGCTGTTCCTTCAGTTACTGGTTTCAGCATCACTCTTCCATGGAATTACATTTTCTCATCGTGAGACCTTTCTAATTCTTCAGTCCACTTGACAAACTACAAAGCTCTACAGATCCAAATAACATCTACCAGATTGGCACATGCTATTCCTTGCCATAAAAATGTAAACTTAAATGGATATTTGCTAAAAGATTCAGCACTTTCCATATATCAGAGGCTACCCTGAATTTTCTCAAGAAGTGATCCCAATTGATTTTGCGAAATGTGTTTATCAGTGGCAAGAGAATAACATGGAGCTGCTTCTTCTTTCTCTCACACACTAAAAGTATTCATTAACCAACAATGTGTTTGTATGCTGTGCAAGAAGTTCCATTTCTACCAAAATGACCCTACCACCTATAGAAATTCATTTGGCATCAACACAGTGTGAGAACTGATGACATCAGTTTCCACACTGTGAACAGACATGCCATTATTTGAGATACCATAACAACTACTGCATTGACCTCATGTGGATGGCAAGAAAATGGATTACAAGTTGACCAATTAAGAGGGAAGCAAAATTTTGCAAAAGGAGGGCCACACACATTTAGGTCTGAATGTTGAAACCCAGGCAAGATAAAAGGGCCTTTAGGATGGAAGAGCTCCTTTTATCCATGGATTTAACCAAGGGCCAATACCTAAAAGAGGTTTCAGGATTAAGGCCTTTCACCAACTCCAAAAACGCAGCACCAAATATTCTGAATATTGGTGAAAAGTTTACTTCAGGCTAAGGTAGCTCACCATCCATGTTCTTACTCAGCATGGAAACAATGGCTGCTGTAACAGCAACTGCAACCAGATTTAGGCTCTACCCTTAACTTTTACCAAGTCATGCAAAGGAAACATTAAATTCTAAAGAAGGCAAACTACCATCTCCCAACACACAGTCAGCTACCACTTGATAAAATAAACAATGAATCCCACCATGATATTCATTCAAATGAAATGGCACAATGACTGCATTTTAGATACTGTTCCACCAACATTCCCATGCAATCAATTGTCATTTGTATTCCTCTGCCACTATTTGGGTACTGATAATGAATAAACAATGCATCACCCAGTCTATGTATGATCTACTAACTCAAGGGGATATTTTGTTACATATTATTCACATTTATGTCCAACTTCCATCAATAATAGGTTTAAATCAACATTAAAATATAATCAACTCACATCAAATCAATATAATCAAATAAAGCTAGAAGCCATATTTTTAATTCATGATCTTGCAAGCTATCCTGTAAGTGTATTGATGTAGGTAACAATCTAGAGGTTGAGTATTCCATAATGGTATTTTTCCTATATATACCTCCTTAACCTAGAAGACTTGGGAAATTACCTCAGTGAAGCTGAAGAAGAGTCCAAGCCCCCCGCTAACACTGGCTCCATGTTCCAACTTGCTCTGAATCACATCTCTGCATGTATTGCATTTACATGGAGCATTTGTCATACAACACATGCTTCCATTCACTGAGTCAGGGCAGCAGGGATCCTTTAAGATAGATGTAAAACATAAATGTAATGGTCCATATTTTTTTTTTCCATTCTGATAAACAAAAAGAAGCTGAAATTAATATAAGTGTTTTGAGGCTCTGGAGAAAGAAATGCTCTGAAACAGCATATCTTGAAAGGGGGGCAAAAGACATGAAAAATCTTCGGTAGAATAATACTTGAAATAGAGCAAGCTTGGTTGAAACTCATTTTTCTGGGTTGGTTTTACAGCTTCAACTACCCATTCAAAATTCATGAATTTTTATTAATGGGAGAAAAAATGTAAATATCATGAATCACCAGCTAGAAAGCCAATCTGCTACAAAAATTTGAACTAATTTTCAACCTAAAGAAAATTTAGAAGTGTAGCACATTCATACCAGCTCCATTCCCACTTCAAAAATAGATTCTACAATACATTTAAAGCCAAATAATCTGAGCCTGTACTTGGACATTCCCAATAAAACATTGAGGTAAGGGACATCATCCTTCCAGCAAAAACAAGTGGTACACGTACAATTGGGCAAGGGGGGTGGTCATGTGTTTGCTGATCATCAGGATAAAATCCACAGCAGCCAAACAAATTCTGTGCTTCTGCTCTTGTTCCATTACTTGAGGAATTCCAACCCTATAATAGATACAAATTCAATTCTTGAGAAAAGGAGGAAGAAGGTATTCACCAGAGTATTCATTTAAATTAATATCACCAACATGAAAATGAATGATGAAGAAAATGTCGTGTACAAGGACACACTATGGTTGGAATAACTCACTCTCTCAACCCAGAGTTCCTGCTGTTCTTTGGAGATGGCCAGGCACACAATGGCGATAATGACTTGAATGACGAAGAGGAGGAAAAGAACTACCATGTACTGGAGGGAGTTTTAGCTCAGGAAACATATAGACTAGCAGGTCAGCACTATTTCTATGTGAAAATTTAAACGAAAATAACCTAACTGGTATCAACCCACATGATATCTTCAATGGGGAAAACCATGCAATAATGTTTTTAGTTACAGAACTAAATGAAAATTCTGCTAATTAGGTATGTTATAAAACACAATCTTGTTAGCAAATTTCTTGCAAACAATTAACATAATAAAAACATATGTTTCAGCAAAGAGCAATGTCATGCTTAAAGAATGCACTTAAAGCAATCCCCTTGGCAGTTCAAAGACAGAATGTTGTGGGAGGTTTCCACAATATATCTACAACTCTAAAGATGTCCCTGACTTCAATGTTCTTTTAACCATATATAATGATCCAATTTTGTTGAACAGAATGTACCTCAAAGTAACTTTTTGCTTTCAATGTAACTAAAGAAAGCAATTGCAGAGCATTTTCAACTCTTGTAATTAAACCAATAAATTAGTTAAATGGGGGCATACTAATGCAAAGAAAGTTAGCTTAATACAAGAGCAAAATCAACTAATAGATGAGTGAAGTCCAACACCTCCAGAAACTTGAGAAAATATTTATTATTTTTCCACATTTATTAAGACAGGAAAATTTAATTGGCAGGTGGCAAACATTGCAAAGCCTTTACTTACAAATTCAACCAATGATTAAATAAAGATGCACTACCTGCTACATTTCAGAAGCATTTATTTCATCTGGGGTTCTGAACACATTTTCATGACAAAATTCATATTTGTTAGTTGCATGATTTGCCCAAGGAAATATTCCAGAAGTGGTGTTATCATGATGAACATTCTTAACTTCAAGAAAAATTGAAGCAAATTAAGCACAAAAAAATATAATCCTAAGAAATTAAAAACCAGACAATATTTGATTCAGACAGAGCTGATTCTAACTTTCCCATGGATGCATAAAATATTAGGAAAAAGCACAAATTTTGCTTAAATACCACTCCTTACTATATCACTTCAGCGAGAATAGAGATAAAATTCAAGGGTCATCTTCTTGCTATACCATACAGATACCATATGGACAAGGTACTCAAATATGCTAGTTTTCAGTACAGAATGAAACATACACATAATGAGAAAAATAAGTAAGAAATTATGAATTGAACAAGTAAAAAAAAAGTAAGTATGCACACAGGAATGAAATATATAGCTTCATGGCTTGCTGGCCATTTAAGAAGCATGTTTTTGGCTGTAACTGGATAGCATAATTGAGAAGGTGGACTCGGATTCATTTTTAACTACAAGACTTTTTGCTTTTATTTCATGTTCTTCAATACATTTGCAATATTTTCAATTAAAATGCTATAATTACAGAAGAAACACATTTAGTAACATATGCTGCAGGTATTGATCTAACAAATAGGAATGTTTGCTAGATAAATATCGGTAGCAAATATTAACAAAGATGTGACTATCAACATGATTTCAAGTATTTATCTGGGATTCAATATACTATTTCTAAATAGTAGCTTCAGTTTTGAAAAGGATACAAAGAAGAGGAGGACTTGATGATGCTTCTGTGCCCCAATGAGTCCTACAATTGCCAAAAGAAGGAGGAACACACCACAAGCAGCAATACCTCCAATGACACTAACGCTTGTCACAACACTAGCTGCCTTTCCATAAGTTGCCACACCAATGAGGATGAAGGCAACCAGCTGGAAGAAAATACGCATGGAATATTATGGCAACAAGATTTTTAAATCTCTTTCATTGTTTTAGGACTGAATTTGTAACCTGTACATGAGCACTTCAATAAATTACAGGTAGTAATATGTATTTTGTCTTTTACTTAAATCAGTGTGACCAAGAAACTTCCAGTTCTACAAAAGGCTGATTGGAAATGAGTCATTTCAGAACAAGAAACTCACAATGTAGAAGATATTCAATGCAGTCAATGAATTCTTGGAATATGTAAATCCTCCACACATGGTTGCAATTGGTAGGTAAGAATTCCTCAATCCAAATTTGAGTTTCTGGAATTAAAAACTAATTCTAGCCTTCCCTTGCTCTAACACTTCAAGAAACAGTGCTAATGGTACTTTAAAGACACTAGGCACTTAGGTGACAGAACTTGTGTCACTGCTATCTGGAAAAAAAGACTATAATTAGCCTTGGTTACAACTAATAGTCAATGGATTAGGTGCAATATCCTCAGCCATCACTAAGCAAACAAGAAGCAGAAGTATGTTCATCATCAACACATGTGGCATAGAAACCATGTACCTCTCAGCCCAAAGCAAAGATCCTCAAAATAAATTCAGGGTGAGCCATCAGTTTAAGCCTATAGCAATAAATTTAGTATAAGTTGTTTTGAAGGGATTTAGTCCCCTCATTTCATTCTGAATCTCCACTGAAAGAGCTCAACACCCCATCCTAATTTATGGTACATATATGCTATCTCAGGTTGTCTAACACCTAGAGTTCCCTTGCAAAGTCAACTCTGTAATAACAGGTAAGTTCTCCAATAAAAGTGTTACCTAGTTTTTCAGAGCCAAACTGTAGTAGTGTATGCCAAATTCTGCAGTGACCTGCAAAACAACTCATACCATGTATAACACTTGCACATTGTTTTATTGTGCTAACAAGGAGGTATGGCCTATCGAGACCTGAAGAGTCCACCTTACCCATTCGCAGTGCATCCAGTAACAATCATACAGGATCACTTTTGAACTTTTCTCATAAAATTTGATTTTCCCTAGCAGCAGTGGGCTGTGCAATCACCACATCCAAACTATTCTAGTAGCAAAAAAGAATCTATGAAGAGAGTCACAACTGCGAAGCAGCTAAAGCAAGCCAGTCCATATCCTGGAATTGCTTCAAGAGCAAAACATCAGGAAATTAACCTGACTCACTTTAAGGTGCTAGTAGAAGTACACTTGAAAAAGTGTCCTCTTGAAAAAACTCTTGAGGCAGCAGGCTATTAAGTTTTCATTTTTTAGGGGCATTTAATGTCATATGCATACCACCCTTGGGGAGATGTGTGTTTACCTTTCCTACAGACCTACCCTATATACACCATGCACACTGCCATCCCCTCCCTTCAGGAAATGCCAGCATGCATGATGTGTAGCAATGCAATATTGAATTATAATACCTATTCATTCCTAAAATTACAACTTTAAAAATCCCAAGGGAAAAAATGCATTCCAGAGTGAGTGGAAGTAATAACTGAATCAAAATTCCTGGGGTTTTCCTTCTCTATCTATACAAGTTCACAAAAAAAGGATACCCTTGAATATACTCACTTGACCTATTAACAGCCAAGTTTCTGTACAGCATTGGTAGGCTGGGTGAACAGTTTTTTCTATAGCAACTCACACATGTAATAGAGCTTCATTCGACTCTTCTATATTCAATTAATGTTTCTTTGAATGACAATCCCATATCTTCAAATCCCATGGTAAGTACAAACATCATTCACAACACATTGGAGAATGGGCATGACAAGTATACTCATTATACCCAGTTTATCAGGTCAAGTTGGGATCTACAGGAGAAAAGTTAGAGAGAAACAGTATAGTTATGATGAAACAGGAAGTAACTTCTGGATGCAAGTACTATGCATGCATGCATTCATGTAAGAATGGAGTCATGATCCTACAGTATTCACCTCTAGAAGTGATGCACAGATGGAGGGAAGTCTTCTTACCTTCAATGTGAGGATTTAGCAATTCCTGTATGCTACCAGACTACATCAAGTTAGAAGAGAAGATCTGGAAATATGGTAGAATAGCAGCAAATTTGTCAGCAGGCTATGGCTTAAGTGATTAAGTTCATAGAGGGATGTCAAAAAAGGTGCTCTGATGGGAAGGTATATTACTGTATGGGGAAGAGCATTCCAATCCACAACTATCAGAGGGAACATACTGCTTAACCTTCAAGCTGGTAATTTAATAAGGCAGAGAATTCCCTGCTACAGCAATATTAAATGGAGTAATGTGAAATACCTTGAAAGGGTCAAAGAAGTCTCTACATTATGGAATGACAAGTTTTGCATGCCCTTCCTTGTCCTGCGTCATCAGAGAGACACCTCTGAACATTAAGTATTGGTGTGCCATGAATGACAACAGGACCAGTCTAGCACTTATACACCTGCTGATCAAGGTTTGTCAGTCAAGTGCAAGCCGAAAAAATACTGGACTCAAGTTTCCATTCATAGCCATTAAGCAAAAATCGCAGTTCGCTTCTGAAAATTTTTTTACTTCTCTTTCTCACTCACTTTCAAAGGGTCCCACATTTCTGCAGGATGTTTCAAGATGGAATGAAAAAGGGAAGCTAACGTCTAAGCATTTTTACCCAGGAACATCTAGCCCTCTGTAACAATTCAAGTAGGAAACAGCAGTACGCCAGGTGTCCCAGGGGAAAGTCATATGAAAAGTGAGCTCACACTCCCTACGGGCGGGGGAAAAAATATAGAGTTTTCGATGCATGGCAACCATTGACTTATAGACCAACCAGCTGGTATCCAAGCATAGGCCTAAATCTAATACAGAAAAAATGCCCATTCTCCACCAGGTTAAGGGAACGGACAGGGTGAAATCAAGGTCTGCGTCATAAGCCTTAAGTTAGTGATCCAGGTTGCCATATGGTTAAACTGGATAATTGGTGGGCCCTATGTGGAAGTTCTGCATAATTTGGGCAAGTGGGCCTACTGTTGAATAAACCTAAGACGCACACCCAAGCTGATGACCCCTATCACTTGTAGAGCATGCATCCACAAGGAGAGACGACATGACAATGAATCACGGTGTGTCGACAAATCACCGCACGACGACACACGTGGGCAGCCATACCATTGCTCGATAGAGTCCTTCGCTACGGCCAAGGACAAGCCACACTGGGTATCAAGGTATCTAGGTAGTTAGTGATATCAAGAGGCGATTAAACCCATTTCGATATCACGTGTCGGGGTCGAGCGTTCCTTAATTTTAGGGTAGGCCTAATCCTCTTAAAGCTAAATATTTTTGCAATTTTTTTTTTCCCCTTTTTAGCGTATCCTAGTTGCTTACTGCCTAGTCCCCATTTTCAACATTTTCAACATTGCCCCCCACCTTTCTGCCTGTCCATAAAATCATCCAGTTTCTTGTTTAAAATAGCCACAGAAGGGGCAGCCACTGCGTCGTCATCCAACGCATTCCACGCGTTCACCACTCTGCAAGTAAAGAATTCCTGTCTCGACCTGAGCCGCAACTGAGGTTTGCGCAACTTTAGTTGATTGGGTACAACTGGGTCAGTCGTAATTCCAATAATTTAGATTTTAGGGATGCACTGGTGTTCGATGAATAAAAATTAGCACCTCTAAATTAATCAGAGTCCTTGTTACAAGAAAGAAAGGGCCGATTGCAAGAACGCTGTTTTCCCGGTGTTTTTCAAAAGTCATCGGTTAACCGATGTCTAAGGCCAAAAATGGATTGCATGAACGCTCTCTTCCTGTAACCATTGTCTAACCGACGTCCAACAGAAGCTTGAAAAGGTGTCGTTTCCAGACAGTGTTTAAACAATGACAATCGATAATCAATGTCTAAAATAAACATCGTTTTCAGACAGAACAAAACTGGATAGAGGTTTTGTTGTGACATGAGGAGAGAAAATGGAGTTTTGCGACAGAATGTCAATGATATCGCAAAAACATGCCGTGAATTGAAATGCATCCAGTCGCACTTGTTTCCCCATGACGTTTGTTTTTGCGCGCATGAGGATCATGGCCAGCGAAGGAGAAGTTCAGGAAATGCAATAAAGGAATTCAATAACTGTCAAGATGGGAGTTTTCAAAAAGTCGATGCATCGACCTGAACTATTCATTCCGTTCTATCATAACTGAGAGGAAACTGATTTCGTTTGCATTCTCAGAGAACAGCGCAGCTTCTAAGCAATATTTCCCGCTCGACTCCAGAATTCCATTTGGTTAAATTTCCCATTCCTGCTGGCGTCTATCTTACACAGACGAACTCCGTCGAACCTTATTTGCTTCTCGAAGCTTTCATGCGACCGAGCAGTTTCAGGAGTCCTTCCACTTTCGTCACTCGACGTGGCTTTGACCTCCAGGATCGTCGAGCTCTCCCCCCGAAAGCTTCTGAGTGAGAAGTGAGCCGAGAGAGAGAGAGAGAGGATTGAGCTGAGAGAGAGAGAGAGAGGATAGAGCCGAGAGAGAGAGAGAGGATTGAGCTGAGAGAGAGAGAGAGAGGATAGAGCCGAGAGAGAGAGAGAGGATTGAGCTGAGAGAGAGAGAGAGGATTGAGCTGAGAGAGAGAGAGAGAGGATTGAGCTGAGAGAGAGAGAGAGAGGATAGAGCTGAGAGAGAGAGAGAGAGAGAGAGGAGTGAGCTGAGAGTGTCGGCAGATGTGCCCGAGTTTCCGAGCGCTCATCATCTGACTGTTTGAGGGGGAGACTTTCCATTGTTGGAGAGAGAGGGAGATCACCAGTGCTATATCATCTGACAAGGGCGAGTTAATGAGAACTCCGGAACTCCGCTGCCTTCTCCAAAGAACCTCGCCTCTCCGACTCTCTAACCCCAAATGTGAATGCTTTCAGGTGAAGCCCAGGAGCTTCACCTGAAGAAGAGAGAGAGAGAGGATTGAGCTGAGAGAGAGAGAGAGAGAGGATAGAGCCGAGAGAGAGAGAGAGGATTGAGCTGAGAGAGAGAGAGAGGATTGAGCTGAGAGAGAGAGAGAGAGAGAGAGGATTGAGCTGAGAGAGAGAGAGAGAGAGAGAGGATTGAGCTGAGAGAGAGAGTCACCGATGCACTCGTGGTCCTTCGTCGATCGCCTCTCGCATTCCAGAAGTCGAGTGATGAAATTTTAAGACAGGGGTGTCCCAAGTGCGGCCAGACCCGTTACATCACGTGGTTCGAGTGGAAAATTAAATAGATGTATTTGTTTAACTATTCTGCCCACGCCGTTCTTTTTCCTTCGGATGGGGTTACCACTCCGAAACTTTGAACGCCCCTGCTCTAGATGAAATCTGGCATTGAGGCTATTGACATTCGGGGGGATAAGAGCTAATTAGGCTAAATCGATTTACCGATGAACCGAGGATCCAATAAGCATGCAAATTCCACCATATTCATATCTTCTTAAAGGTCACTTCCTGAGCACCGAATTATGAGCTTGACTTCGCGACGGTTGAGCTTGTTTCTTAAGTCAATTCTTAAGTCAAATGCATGCGAAAAATGAAACGCAAAAGCCGAGTCCTGCATGCTTAATGAGACTCATAATCGTGAAAGTAAAAAAAAAAAAAGAAGAAAATTGGAGAAGACAAACCAATGTCGAGTTGGAAACGAAGAGGTGAAAAGGCACAGTCCGCGTTCACAGTGCACCTCATGAGATCGAGCCGAAGAGAAACAAAAGAGAGAAATCCCCGGTGTTATCTCACCTCTCTCACTTCCTGTCACTGGTTCAACAATTTTTTCCCCCTCGTCTTGCAAATAGCGAATCCCAGGATTTCCAGGATTTGACGGCGATGGGAAGTCGCAAACTCGCACGGGTCACGTCACATCCCGTACTGTACTAGCCTCGATCTGACGTGACATTTCCCAATTCAAAAATCTTAACGAAAAAACATTGATAACTCCAACGACTGATGATGATGTCGGTGCATCGATCCATCCTGGCAACCTTACAGTTAAAAGAGTTCAGTACGCAGAAAGTGGGAATGCAAGGAAAGGTGAAAAAGAAGCTTAAATCTCTGGTCTCTAGTAAGTGACATGTTTGCCGAAACGCGAAACCACCGAGTTTCTCATTTCTTCTCTGGGATTGCTTTTCCACTCCCGCTCCTTTGCATGGGTCGAGTGAGAATCGATAGAGAATCGACGGACCCAAAAAGTTGGGGAGACGGATCGTTCCCTTTACATAGCCGAGGTGACTCACATCGAAGAAAGCATTCGAGAACTCTTGCGGTCTTGTTTGAGTTGCCGGCTCTAATAACGCCTAACGAAAACACCTCGGTAACCTTTGAAACCTCTGCACCGAGCCGATACGTACCGAAACGAGCACATCGCTAGGTGGATCGTGGAAACACTGAAGTAAGAGGCATTAGATATCGACTTGTTTCAACTTGTTACAGAAAGATGACGGCACAAACGACGCATCAGAAAAGCAATCGGTCGCTCGGAGTCACTGCGACGGACATCGTCGCATGCCTCGAATTCTCGTGTCGTCACGGTGACGTTGCACTCTGGACACGAATCGCTGGCGATCGGATGACATCCGAAAGCATCTGCATCTGCATTTTCAGGCGTGCGTCGCTAATTGTGGTGGACAAAATAGGAGACATTAATTTTGGGGATGTGGGAAGAATGAAACAAATCAAAGTACGGAGGAAGGAACATAAAATAAAAATATGAAAAAAATAAATAAAGGATGTGATTTAGATATCGGTGGAGCACTCAAGGCATCTGCTGTGATAGGCGACCTCTGAGGTCAGCTTTAAATCTAGATAGAACGGGGAAGCAACTGATCCGATTTGGAAGGCGATTTCCGCGGTTCGATGCTTCCTTACGTGAATTTTTTTTAATGGAATTTTTTTGTGGTGTTGTGCGGGAAATGCTTTCATGGATGAGGTGGAGAAAAGTAACGAAAGGAATTTCTAGACAGAGGGAGATATTAAGAAAGGTAGCAAGGAGCAGTGCCCACAGAGATTTTTTGCAAAAGTTGAGAGACGCGGCAAGATGAGGTCTTCGATACATTACCATTTATTATGAACGAACGAACGGATTATGCCTGCAATAATAATGATAGGACAACAAGCGAATAATTCGTATACCTTGTTTCATGTCTGTGCTGATTGAGTTAAGAGCTGCTTTATTGGACCTGGAGTAAATGGACAGGGCAGAGATAATGTGACAGCGGATTAGTGCATTGTAGATTAGTAGACGAATGTGGGAGGGAAGCTGCAAGTGCTTGGCCGAATGGAGTAGATAAATTTTAGAGGAAAATTTATGACGGAGATGAGAGTTGCGATGATCGACGTTCAGGTTCAAGATCAGCCCTAGTAGTGTGAATGTGTATACTTGTTCAGTTGAGCCTTTGGCCATGGATAATAGTTTGTGAGTACCGTAAGAGTACAGTAAGAATTGCCTGCAGTCAGTCATGGTCAACCGATCTATTCCATTCCTCGATTTCGCCTGTCCTAAATTGGCTGGGATGGATAGACTGAAGTCAGAAGATTTCGTGCAAGAAATGGCATCATCAGCACTACTTCAGAGGTTTCTCTGATTAAATTGCCCAGAACCGGTACGATACACCAGCCTTACAATAGCGATTCTTTCGAATGAAGGCCACCTCGGAAATTCCCTTCTCTCATGCAAGAATATCATGTCCCTCAAACACAAGCTTAAATGAAATCATGGGAAGAAATAAAGCCACACGATCCTTAAGGCTTAAGTTGCGCCCCGTAAGCACACTCCCTCCAAAACTGCTTTCCTTTCTGGCTCCTTACGGGCTTCGCAGGCAACCCTGTTGGTTGCAGTCTATCTGTGAAAGGAACTCATCACTGATAAACTATAACATTCTTGGCTCTCTAAAATAATACGATTTTATTTGGGACAGATAATTCTATAGGCACAAACGGAACTAGATTAATTTCAGATCGGAAATCTCACCAAAAAATTTATATCCCGGGGAGGCTTCTATTCGGCCCTGTTCCCTGCAGTCGCTGCTGGCCTTGCCTTGCCATAGAGGGCCTGACAGTCGGGCTGGTCGGGCCTAGGGATAAGAGGAATGGCACCTGTGGGTCCAGTTGGATTACTTTTCAGTGAGCCGATTTGCCGATTCCCATGTATTAACCCCTATGTGTTTCGAACCGCTTAGAAATTGATTTGCATGTGTTGCTTAACTTCCTAAGCCCTAGTCCAAGCCCTGTTCTCCACAGGCATTTGCATTCTCAGGGTTGAATTCACTTTAATTGGAACTGAAAGTAAGTTCTCATGTGCGCGTAGAAGGGGTACAGCGCAGAGTACTACTTGTGCCTGAGTGACAGCAAAAGGAATTAATCACTAACTTCAGCCATGTACCTAGACTCAAACTAAGGAATGGTGTTATGCTATGGTCATTGACAAAAATAGAGAACCAAGAATTACAAATCTTTCAATGTCACTTAACATATACAGGAACTGTGAGGCTACCAGTCTGAGTAACAGAATTAGGGTATATTGGGTTAATCATTTGATGAGTATAATTTTGGCAATTTTAAATGTCTGGGTATACATATCAAGTCAATTAGTGAGTTAGTCTAGTTGTAAATGTTATAGCTATTCATTACAGCCTTCATTTGCTGACTTTCTTTGCCATGTGCTTCATCAGTTCCTGAATGGAGTAAGTCAGAGTTATAGGCTGCCAGAGGTGAGGGAGGAGAATGAGGCATGAGATTTTGTCATTTGTACTTATGACATTGAAAGCAATTTCATTTAAGAAATAGTTCTTTTGGAATGAAAGGGGGTCACTAGACCGAAAGAGTATGTTCAAGTGTTCCATGGCATTTTGAATCCAAAATAATTTTGCAGTGTTGTGGTCATGAGCATATGAAGAATGGAAATTTAAATAGCTCATTTTGAAGATTCTGCAGTCTAGCATCTGGATGGCCATCTTGTAAAAGTGACTCCTTTCCTTGAACTTGATTCTGGGAGTGATGAAATATGGCATACTTCAAGTATCTGTATATTTACTGGGCTGTTCAATTTGAGATTATATAAGAATATGATCAGGAATAGACTGTAGCCTTAAACTCTTGTTCTTCCTGATAGATATGCATGTAGCCATAAATTATATTGTAACATTATTAGAGAAGTAATATATAGCTACTAACATTAAGCCTAGCTGCTCTGATTGTGTTTAACCTATAGAACATTTGTATGCCAACTTTTCTCTGTTTTCCTTTGTTAAGGTTTGCATCAAACAGTCTAGGCTAGGCTACCATATCTGACAGGCCTGCCATTCACAAAAACTCACCCCAAGGAAGTAAAAGGATAAAAAATGGGTTGTGAGAACGACGTCATCCGTATTCAGAAGAAGCTTGACAAACATATCAAAGGTGAGAGTGTAGAGCCTGTTCTGGATTTGCTGAAGCGATTGCAGGAGCTTCCTATTGACTTGGATGTCTTGACAAAGACTCGTATTGGGATGACTGTCAACTCTCTTCGGAAGTTGAGCAAAGAGGAGGAGGTTGTCACCCTGGCCAAGACATTGATCAAGAACTGGAAGAAATTCTTGGTTGGTGGAGGGAGCAATATGGAGGATTCCAATCCTGCGAGTGAAAAGAATTTTAATGGGTCTGAATCAAAAGCTCCAGATCCCAAGAAGAAGCCAGACACTCCAACCCCAAAGACTACTGAAGTATCTTTTCCTCGATCTAGTGGTACTACAGACATAGTTCGCTTGAAGTCCAGAGAGATGCTTGCCAATGCAATTCGTGGTGAAGGGGGTCTACCTGAGGATTCAAAGGACCCTGAGGAGCTAGCAAATGACTTGGAAGATGCTATTTTCCAAGAGTTCCGAAACACTGAATTCAAGTACAAGACTAGGATCCGGAGCCGCATGATGAACTTGAGAGACTCTAAGAATCCTAACCTGAGGCTCAATTTCTTGCTGGGTCACATTGCTCCTAGTCGTTTGGCAGTGATGACCCCTGAGGAGATGGCCAGTGATGAAATGAAAGAGATGCGGCAAAAGTTCATCAAGGAAGGCATCAATGACGCTCAGCTTGCCACTGTGCAAGGTACAAAAACGGAGCTGTTGAAGTGTGGGAAGTGCAAGCAGCGAAACTGTACATATAACCAGGTGCAAACCAGAAGTGCTGATGAGCCAATGACAACCTTTGTCCTCTGTAATAATTGCGGAAATAGATGGAAGTTCAATTGAATAACATGGATTTCAATAGAAATGTTGTAAATTGTGAAAGTTCTTGTGAACTCTGCACTTAAATAAACTCACATGCATCCATGTGAAGTGAATTTTCTTGTCACTTCAATTGAATCCCCGTTACTTCTTGATATACATGCTTTGGCTATGAATTTTGCTATTAGTGGATTTTTGTGGGCTGTATGCCTTTGTGTCATAATGCTAGTGTTGTACCATGTACAGCACCTATAAATGAATTGCTGTATGCTTCCTTTGCCACTTCACAATGCAAGCAAGTTCTGTTACTGTGGTTGAGGATCAAGGAAAATGAAATATCACTGATGTCCCCAAGGCTCATGTGTCACAACACACTAGTTGTATTGTGTATGGTGCATCATCCATGAAATAATTTTGTTCTTGCCTTGTCAGATTGTCTTGATTCAGGTGGCAACCGTGTTTGTTTGTTGATGCATTTTCAGAGTTGGGTTGAAGATCAGGGCCATTGATGATGTGTCTGTTATTGGGTTTGGACTCCTCCCTGTTTTGGTTTGCATTTTCACTGTTTTAAGTTTGAGTTTCCCAGAGATATGCATCCTGTAATAAAGTAGCCTACTTGTGATGATCCAGCTTAAGATAATGGAAGTTCTATGTGGTCTTGTGTTGTACTGTACAAGTCTGTGCCACTGACTTGTTGCCTGCTAGACTTTTAGGTCAAGCTCTCCTTTCCAGGAGCACTTTGGCCCAATCCTCCACTGATGTTATATCCTAGAAATATTGGATACATTTTGTATAGCATCCTTAAAAAAAAAAGGTCTTGCCCAATATTATTCTCATGTCATTCAAGGTGTGAGGGGACAGACATGTTTAAAGTATGAGCCTATACAGCTACATCCTTCTTTATAGAAAGTTACTCCATTTTCCAGAAAGTAACATAGTGCTTTATTGTAAAAGAAAGATATCCTATGCCAAGAATGTGGCCATGCCATGAGATTCATCTTGGTTAGGTGCTTTAAAGCACCTCTTGGGCAAGGATACTGGATGGTATTATAAAATTGTTGCTTGCTTGCATGTCAAGATTTTTTTCATCCCCAAAAGCCACTCATTCAATGTATGCTTTCAATAGAATCCCCTTAGAGGTTTGTTTACAGTCTTTGATCTTAGCAGTCTGAAGGATATGGCAGCAGCCAGCTTGACAAGACAGGTTCTCATTTCACGACTGGCAGGGCCATTTCTTCGTACTCCGGAAGTCTTCCCTCAGCAAATCAGAGTAAGCTCATGGACTTCTTATGCATTTCATGTAGCTTGACTGAATAATCAAAAAAACAAAATCTTTAAACTTTTAATGCCATGTTTTCAGTCATGCATCTTTGTGCATTTCTTCCTGGTTTTGTACTACTTCAGTCCAAATGCTTGCATTCACTCCATATTTTGCTTGAATCATACTTATATCAAAATTTCCAAGCCAAGAAAGTTTCATATCTGCCCTTCAAGCCCTTTCATGCCTCCAAAAGTACTGGACGTATCCATGCAGAATGTGACTGATTTGGATGTAAGGGTATGAAGTTTGCCAAATTGGCCATGGTTCCATCAGTGCAATTTAAAGACAAGGATTTGGAGTGTATTCCCTGCCAGCAGATCTTTCTCATTGGGGTGGCCTTGGTTATCTTCAGGTGTGTTCTGTTCAGTGATGGTGAGAGGTTGACACTTTCATCACAGTGCACTAATATGTGTTGTCATACATTCCTTGCTATGAGGATTCCTGGATATATAGGCTTTTGGTATATACTTTCAGCCCGGAATGCACAAACCTCATTTTAAGTGAGATAAAGGAGCCTTTATTCCTTTCAGTGGTTAATTTTCTTGCAATTTTTCAGCTACTGAGCATTATGTATAATAAACTATGGGTGGTAACATCTGATGATGGTTATTGTAAATTTTCCAGCTTTAGAGCAATACGTATGAAAAGTATTACAGTTGATGCTTTGTATGGATTGTTTTATAATTATAGCAAATTTAGTAGAGCATTAGTAATGGGACAAGGTATGTACTCGTATCAGTGGAAGGGTTAAGCTAAGGAGCTCTTTTTCCTCCATAGGATTCCATATATCCTTAAGGGATCATTAACTAAAGCATTCAGGCCTTAGTTGATGATTTTTGGAATTTTTCCACATTCTGGGTTTCTGTGATATGGTTTCATTTAAATTTCTTGTAATTCATTGCTCAAGCTTGAACCCAAATGCCAATGCATCCCATCAAGAAAGTGCTGGCAGCATAAATTTTATCACTACTAGTAAATTTAGGTTCTAGATGCTTGAACAGCATTTTGTTCTGAGTTTGCTCTCCAGTTCAGAGTAATAAATTCAGTGTTTAAATGTGTGAGCTTACCCATCTTATGCTATTAAGATAATAAAACTATACCAGAGAAGTTGTATGCTCTTGTATTCTCCACAGACAACATTCATCCTGAAGAGGCGGAGAGAGCCCTTCCTGTCCAAGAAGTATGCTGCCTTCCCTCGACCTTTGAAGAGGTCAGATCTCAATTACGAGCTAGTCCAAGACACCAACATCATCCCTCGTCAACCACTTCAGGTCATCCTCACTCAGTATGTTGAAGGTAAGCAATTATAGAGCTGGCAATCACTGACATTAATCAAAAGTAGGGAAGGAATATATCAGGGAGCTAAAAATATTTATTCTGTCATGTCAGAATTGCCTTATGAAGGAATCCTCTCTACTTCTGGTCTGTTGACATGTAAAGTTCTATAGAATGAAGGCAGACTGCTTGATATCCCTACCCCTCTTGCTGATTCGGTGATGTCTTTTTCAATGTTGTGCTACTATTAATTGGTGCTCTGTTGTATGTCAGGCTATGGTGTGAGAGGGGATGTTCTCTCTCTGCAGCCACACGAGGCAAGGAAGAACATTTTGCTTCTTGGAAAAGGTGTCTATGCAACACCAGAAAACCTGAAATTGTACGAGAAAGTTGAAGGAGACAAGGATGAGACACAAACTTACAGCTCCCAATTTGTACCTCTAGTAAGTATGAAGAACTAAAATTCATTAATTATCATTTTGCCATGTGTTTTAGGCAAGTTTTAATTTTGCATATATTTTAAGATTTGTTTGATAATTCACAAATAATATAATTTTTGACATTAGCAACAATTTTTTGCATTGCCTCATGAGTTGTCTGAAGAATCTAAACCTGCATTTTCCTTATTAAACTTTAAAATAATATATGTAATTTCTAATAAGTAAAATATTTATGTATTTGAGTTATCCTTTCAGTCTGGCTTTCATTTTCAATTTAAAAAATGTGCAGACTGTAAAGCAGCTGAAGAAGCAAGTAATATGCATTTACATGAATGGAGAGAACCCCTGGACAATTGAACCTTGGCACCTTCGAGTCTCCCTGCGTGCCTACAATGTGGTCGTGCCTGAGCATGCCATTGAGATGCCTTCAATTCCTATCTCAGGACCCAATCTCACTCTTGAGGGCAAGGAGTTCTATGCTACCATTGTGGTATGAGTCTTGTCAATATATAGTTTAATATATAGTCTGTAGGACTGCAGCTTTGAAGCACTCCTGTATGAACCATTGCAAGGCAATAATATATGTCACAGTACAATGCTATACCTGTTGCCTCATGCACTGAAGTCCCATGTCAAATGTAGAACTTTATGAAAGTAATCATACTCCAATTCTCACATTTGTCAAATCCATAATAGAACAGGTAGGTCTTGGTTCATGTTGAATGATATTGGTCATCATTAACTGATTGATTAAGTCCAGTCTTGCTGTTTTCATGACAGGAATTTCCTTCTCCTGAAAGGTCCTCTCCCTTCATACTGTTCCATGGCTTTATATGACCTCTTGTATTCTTGTTAGTTGGTCATTAGTATGCAGGGGCTGTAATCCATGTCTTCAGACCTGGTGGAAGGTCTGAATGGCAATGACATGGTTATCATTTTTCATTTAATTAAGCTGCAAAAATATCAAGTTCCATCCATAATAAGGTATGTACTCTTTTTGTATTGCATGCTTGATTCTGTATTTTATTTGCTCAAATGAGAGATCTGTAGGCCTTAGTCCAGGTCAAAATGGTTGGTAGGCACTATAAAAGCCCAAGTGATAGAAGGACCAATGTCGTGATTTCTGGGCAGGTGCTTACATTATGAATGACCTTGTTTTCAGAATCACTTCTGGGCATATATAAAATATCATCTCAGTTGTGTCTAGTCCTCTCACTGTGGATTAAGATCCATGGCATGTCTGAGAAGTGAGAAATGAAGACCAAGATGTAGGCATATGTCCAACAATGAGGACTCAACTCGGCTCCTTTGTTGGGTAGACTGAGTGTAATTAATTTTTCATGGGGCTTTGCATCCAGGAAGTACACCTTTGAAAGTAGCATTCAAACTCTTCAGAAGAATATTCAACTGCCATCTTCAGCACTTCATGGGACATGGATAACTCATGGTTCTGGGTCCATAACAAGTTCTTGCACAAAAGCAAACTTCTATTTGGAAGTTCATTGAAACTTCAGCTTTGGAATCAAAATTGCAGGTTCCATGTTCACTTTTTTGGAGATCAGGCATTCTAGAATATTTTAGAAGCAATATTATTCTCACCTTGAGTGACTATGACAGGTAGATTGTAACATTTTTTCCTTTTGCCTTGCTCTGTAATTTGCATTGACTGGCAGAAATGAAGCAATTTTTTTAACTTTAATCCTGAAATTATAAGATGGATTATTGATGCAGTTGTAGGAATATATGACCTGGCCCTTTTTAAAATGCCCCCCAGGATTTTAACATTCAGTTATTCAGTATTATGAATAAGTGAACTTTCTTAATATTTTGCAGATTAATGGTGTAGACCATACACCAGTGCGTTTCCGGATTTACCACCACTTCAAGGACCCAATGAAGCGCATTGAACGGGACCCAGATTTCATTTTCCACCCTGCCGGGGAAGTGTTTCCAGAACAGAAGGAAGTGCTTGACCAACTCCGTACTCATCTGTCAGGAATGTACAAGAAGCTCCAAGAGAAAAGGAAGAAACCCATCCTTACTTCCCGTCAAAGAAAAAAGTGATTTTCATGCTGTGCTTTGGACTATTTCCCTGTGATGGATGGAGTCTTGGTTTTTATTCTGTTGAAAATGAACCATATGTATGAAGTCTGATAAAACCCCTGGCCAGATGTAGATGAAATAAGTGGTGAACTAATCTGCTAGACAGAATATCCTAAGACTCAATATCATCAGTGTTTCCAATTAAGTGAGTGTTGATAATCCATTTTCGCTTGCTGCTCCTGAGATAATAGTTGTTGAGCTTGACTTCATGTCATGCTGATCTCTGAAACATTAACATTAATTAGAGGGGGGAGATTAATTTTTTCCAAAAAAAGAATTTCCCACAAAGGATTTGATCATTTCTAAAGCTATGGTATGACTTATTTAATGGCCTAAAGATCTAGTTTGATAATTTCCCCTCCACAGGTTGCTGCCTCCTGCAGTAGACCATGAGCAAAATCAAACTCATAATGTGGCTCTACCATACTTATATGCAAATGAATTGTCTTTATACTAGTGAGTGGCTAGAATCTTTTAAAATCTCCTTTAGATTGCATAATCCTCTGCTCTGAGTTGATGGGTGATATGACGTGGCTGTATTGGTTTAAAGTTGTGAGTGTCGGCAATAACTAGACTGAAATGAATCAACTCCTAAAAAGGCTTTGAAAGAAAAGCTAATTTACTTTTGTTGGATGATTCCTTGTACAGGTATTCCACATATCTATCCTTGCAGTATGTGTCATGAACATGACTACAGCATCTAGTTACAGCTATTGATAGGTTTAGAGGTAGATGTGCTTATGTTATCCTTTGAAATGCATTTTTGGAGTGTTATCTTTGGAGACTATGGGGTCCACTGCCCACCAGTTTTGTAAATTATGGTACACAATGGAAAAATGTGAAATGTGGAAGATGCAGGTTTTGCTCATTGCCTGATATGCTTGAAATACATTGCTATCTATGTTATACAGGATGACCTCTAAGTATTTATTAATTGGTTTCATTTTTGGACAGGATGTGTAATGCAAGCTTTGTCATTTAATCCCTGTTCATTCTCGAGTGCATTGATATTGGTGATCTCCAAGTTAAATGCCCTGCACAAGCAATGATGAAGAAATTCTCTTTTATACCACTCTATAGAATGCCATTCTGTATTGTATGGCTGTTAATTGCTAGTTACAAATATTCATATGTGCTTGCATATGGAGCATTCATTCAGTATAGAGTGCTTGTCATGATTCAGATTGCATGCTTTTTCATGTCATCTTTTGTATTAGTCCTTTCCAATATATTAGCTTCTACTTCTCATTAGTGTCTCTCTCACAAAGAGGGAGGAAATTAATGTAAAAGTCTGATTGCATGATGAGTATCAATCACATTGGATTGTCTGAGATGCATTTCAGGATTGTTCTCTCATCATTGGATCCATTTCAGGCATGGTGCTAATTCTTCATTCTGTGATTGCCTCAAGTGAAAGGGATAACGAGAATCATGAAGCTCACAGAGGGCATGATCCTTGCTCGAAATCGAGGTGCAGAACTGGAAAATGTTAGGAAGCTCAACTGTTGGTGCGTCTCCACTGCCTTCATCGTCATCTGTTTATCTTCCCTTTTTGTCTTCATTTGCTATGCTCTTCTGTTATTTCATTTGTTCAGGGGCAGTGATCTGACTGATGTGGGGATTGTAAAGAGGCTCCCCAATGTTGAAGTTCTTTCTCTCAGGTGAGTGCCCCCAAATACAATCCAGGAAGGGCAGAGCTGCTGATTCGTCTGCATTTATCAATCATGATTGATATAAATTAGGGTTATTTCTGTTGGAGTTGAATTTTCTGCATTCAAGTTTGCATTCATGGAATTGAAGTTATGGTTTTGTGTCTTTGAGGTTGGAAACTTTTTTTTAGGAAAGGTAGTCGCTAATGGCTGATGGCAAGAATGTAATGTCCTGAGTAGGGCATTGATATGTATGGTGAAAAACTTACACTAGTGTCTAAAACTTTCATTGTTAGTTTTCCTGCCTCATTTCATGCAGTAAATAAAAATACTGTTGCTTCATGTCTCTGACTTCTTTTTTAAAGTAGTGACATAAATAAATTAATAAGGGAAAATGCAGTCATTAAGGGTGTGATAGAAAGTGAGCATACCCAAGACAGCCACTCAAGTTGAAATGTGCTTGGAAGGTTCTTACTTCGTTGTCTACTAACCAAGGGAGAAGAATAAAGTGAGTAGGATGCATCCAGGTGCTGCAAAAGGCCATTTTTACAACTTGCCATAGCAGTAGCATCACTAAGTTTTCAAGCTAGCTTGAAATGAAGAATTGAACTGTCTTCCATTGAGTCATGTTTTATTCTCACCTATATTGCTAGAAATATGAATATCTTGCAGCTTTGTTAAGGTGCAGATTTATTGGATGAGTATAGTAAATTTTATCATCAGCTTTAAAATATAAAACATTTGGAAATCAAAATTCCTTTCAATCAGACTGTTCGAAATTTAATTTGGAATTAAACTTATATCAAATTAAATGAATTGCCAGAATTGTGGTCTCTCATGCAATATTAAATGATCCTCTTGGGGTTTCCATTTGCAGTGTAAACAAGATCTCCTCCCTGTGGGACTTCCAGCACTGTCGCAACCTGCAGGAGCTCTATCTGCGAAACAACAGTATCCGTGATTTGAATGAAGTTTGCTACTTGAAGGATCTTCCTAAACTCCGATGTCTCTGGTTGGCAGAGAATCCTTGTGCAGAGGGTGACCTGTAGGTTTTTTCTTCCAATATTATTGTATTTTTTAGTGTCATTTGTGATGAGGTTGATGGCAATGCATTCATTATATTCCTGTGTTCAAGTAAATAATTTATTCTGTATGTAATTGTTCTTGTTAGGTTTTCTTGAAGAGGAATCATTAGTTGAGATGAGTTTTGTTTTTTTTTCCTGGGAGTAGTTAGGCAAGGCAAGACAGCACTTCGTGCATAATTTGAATCGGAGGTTGGGTTTTTTTTTTTTTTTTACTTTCTTCAACATTCAGACTGTTTAAGACATCCAGTGTGACATGGGTGAATGGTGAATGTTGCAGAGGGGATTGCTTTATGGATATACACAATCAAACCTGCCTGGTTTCCCACTGCTACTGTTTCCTCCCCCAATATGCTCAAAAATATCTCCTGTTTAGCCCATTTTCTTATTTACCCTTCTGTCCATTTCCCTTTACCATGACTACATCATCTAAAGGCTTCAATATACCTGATCCCAGTTTTTAATTAAATACTTTTTGACCATAGTATTAAAAAAGACCTACAGCCTGGAAATATGAATGATTTTCCTGCATTATGTGGTGATGGAACTGGAGGTGTAATTAAATACTTTGTCACCCCAAACTTGACTGGGTTGACTTCATCACTGTAGAATTAATTGGTAACTTGAAACCTTTATAAGTCATATTCATTTTTTGCACATTACTCATTTTGCTGTGGTGTAGGTATCGACTGACAGTGTTGAAGCACTTGCCTCGGCTACAGAAACTGGACAATGAAGTTGTGGAGCCAGAGGAGCTGCATGAAGCCCAGCAACGTGGCCTTGACCTCATCCATCCATCTGAAAGAACTCAGTATGGTTCCTACTCCCAGGTACATATTACCAGCTTCAGCATTCTCCTCAGTTTGAGCTCCAGCTGTTTATAGCTAGTGCATTGTACTGTTGAAAATTTATTTAGCTATAGTCTCCTCATTGTGCTACAGTATTTTACAGTGAATAGCCTCTAGGTTTGACTTTTATGTATTGGAGAGGTATTTGGTTCTGTAGCCCTAACCCAATGGAATTAGTTTATTTTAACCCATGATGAAACTGAATTCATCTTGAGTGAACCTGCAAAGAAGATGCCACCATACAAGAATCCATCAAAGAGTTCCAGGACAAGCCTTTGTATGAGAAAACTATGAATAGGAGTAAGGTTTAAGTGTGTTTCCCCTTGAGGTAGCTTTCTTAGCTTTTACCATGGAAATTTCAACTAATGGTGTGACATTGCTCCCACATCCCTATTCACTGGACGTCACAACTTGGCACTCCACACTGTTTCCCAGATAAAGTTCCTTCTAAAAGGCTGCAGCTTCGACAACACAGGCACTCTCCAATTGGTTGAGACCAACACATTGAAGATGGTTAACAAGAATGGCTTACAGCCGGTGTTCCCAGTTCTTTCTAAATGTGGGGAGAAGTGTATTCCAAGCCAAGGGGGGTCATGAAAGGGATCATACTGAAACCTAACTTGTGTACCTAGTTTTCATATATGAAGGCCAGTATTTGAAATTTTTTATGGTTGCTCATATCTATGGTGATTTCCAGCTTAGACCTAGATATGCCAATAAGTTTTTAGACCTTGAGATACTGTTGGCAAGCCATATGGTAGCTACCAGGGAAGCAGGTCTTAATTATTTCCAATTCTTATGATTCCTAGTTTGAACACATTTGTGAAGCTGTATATTTTTCCTTTCTTTTGAAGAGAATGGGACAATGTCTTCTTTGAGGTCTCATAATGTCTCTTTTTTTTTATAATCTTCCTACTTCCATATCAATGTGCATCACTTATTTCCTCCTAAAATTTTATTTTCCTTTTATGGATATTGTATTTGTGATTTATTGCAGATGGGTATCCCTGGAGACAGAAGAAGTCTTTCTTCGAGCGTCATGGATCCAGACCCTTATAGAACCGTGGAATACACAGAAGCACCCACACGTAGAGTGAGCCAGATAAGTAATAGCAGTGGTGGCTGTGTCCCACCATCAAGGCGGCCAAGTCAGAGCCACTCTGAGCGGGAGGAGGGCATCCCATCAAGACGAACGAGTCAGTTGGAAATAACTGAGGAACCCGCCACGTATGGAAGGCCTCCCATCCCTCCGTATACGGCTGGATACATCATGCCAAGACTGTGAGCTCAGCATTCTAAGCAGACTAAAACAGAAGACACCTCTTTGATTTAACAGAATTATCCATTTTAGTTGTGGCATCACAAATGCTCCTCTTCTGCTGTCCAAACAGAACTGCTGGGAGAAGTGAAACTGATATCTTCTAAATTGTAAATTGGTGTACTCCTGAGCTTTGGTTCACTTCCTGAGTGTATAGAGTGATAAAGAACCATGAAACATTTCTCAAGAGGCATAACGTTCCTAAAGCACAATGCCAAGCAATGGCTATAGAGCTGCTTGCTAGTAATTTTAGTCCATTCTTAAATTTTAAGTTGTCAAGTAAATTCAATTATGAAATTTGAGATAGGCATGAAGTAACTAGTACAGGAATAGAGATTATGCACTAATTCCGCTTTCCCAATCAGTCTTCTTTTCCACTTGCTTATTGAACAGAGAAGCAATTCTATTGTACCCTACCCTTCACTTCTCGTTCATCATACATACTAATCCAGAGGACAGTCAGAAGAGCTGATGCCTCACTTTCTTGAGAGCCCTGTTCACCTCACCAAAGCATGATGTATCCATGCCCCTCCTTTGCCTTTTACTCACATGTTTTGCATTCACCCCTGACATGCTAATGAAATTGCTGTGGGATTGGCTTTCTCACCCTCAAGAACTATAAAATGACTGATGAAGGCAAGAATATAATGACATTGAAGAAACCTGCAGTTTTCTAATGCAGCAGGTTTATATCAACATTTATGAGCATGTGTGCAGTTTTTTCCTGATGACTATCATTTTATCACTGATTTTTGAGTACCTACTCTCATATATATCCTGTTCAAATAATAAAAATCATCTTCGATATCTGTTCATTTGTAGGTAAGAGCTCTTCTGTTAAACACTCTGCATGGTTATGTTTGTTTATGTCATATATCCTGCAAGTTCTCTAAGATCACATATCAAGGCTGTGGAAACCAATTCCTATCATGTATATTTCAGTCACACCACTGGTCATAAGATGGAGAAAGAACTCCCATCATGAGGGCAATATTTTTCACATTGACCTATTGATGTCTTTCTGGATTTTACTTTGGCAAAGCTATGCTGATTGCTTAGTATTGTTGGGTTTGCATGATCTTTGCAAGTTTGATCTGAAAAAGTTTTGTTCCATTGCTAGAAAGTGTTATTTATGACATCCAGGCTGCTTTTCCCTGTGTTTGTGTTTTCCAATCCCATCCTTGCCAGTAGACAATAATTGCTACAAAAAGTTCCATTTTACAGGATCAAATTGGGAAGGCTTATATGGCACTGCTTGTATGTTGAAACCCCCTCATTACTAGGGTGTGGATTTTTCTCTACTAATAAGTGCTGAAATATTCTTAATTGTGCAAGTGCACCATAATGTGCATTATATGCATTTTAAAGTGGGATTACTGTTAATCACTTTCACCACTTGTGAATCCCTTTTGGGCTTTATGCCTTGATTGCACTGCAGGAAACATATCCCTTTGCTCCTCCTCCAAATCCCTTCCCTTGTCATGAACCCTGATGCAAAATTTTTTTCCCTGGATTGTGAAGATTTTGTACTTTTTTTTTACCATGTAAAAAAAAAGTAAAAAATTATATTGAAAAATGAATAACATGGCAATAACTGTGTTTGAGGATGGAAATGGGAATTTGTTTTTAGCATTATCCATTAGAGCAGCAGTTCTCAAACTGTGGGTCGCGACCCCCAGGGGGGTCACGAAGGGGTCCCAGTGGGATTGGAGATATGCAATAAATTTATTTTCTCTCACTGATTTCATGAAGCCAGTTGAGCCATGTTTTCCAAGAGAAAAATTTCCTAGGATTATTTTCCTATTAGTGAAAAGAAACTCCATTTGAGGAATAACCCAGGAAATAGGTCATTAGGGGCGTAGTTGAAACTTGGGTGAAAGTAGAGCCACTGCTACTCTGATAATGCATCTCTGGCGACAGCTTTGCCCTTAATCACCCCTGGGGTGGAAGTGAGTATGGGCAAAGCTGTCGCCAGAGGCAGAGTGTGTGGGTGTGAGTGTGGACCCGGCAGCATTAACCTCTTTGCGAGAAAGCCTGAGACTATAGCCTTTTCCAGTTCAGATATTAGATGTTGACCGGTCATTAATAATACTGATCTTGTGGCCTAGGGGTGAAATTTTGGGGGTACCTTTTGCATCAACATACCTTTGTGAATCTGGATTTTCTTCTTTGGTGGTCATCAAAAGACCACCATATCATAACTGAATCACTGTTGAAGATGATCAGCAGCATTGTGCCTCGTTTGGATCGCATTTGCTTGGCAAAGCAGGCACACCCATTGCACTGAATAGCGCTGATCAGTGATGTTTTCAATGCTTTTTGCATTTAAAAATAAATTTAAATGAGAGTTACATTGCGTTTTCATTTCGCTTTAATGAGCAGCCCAGGATTCTTACCCCATCAAGTTTTTCTATACTGCGTACCTCTTCGGCCTGAAAATTGGGGGTCGGAAGCTTTTGACTTCCGTGAAACAGGGTCTTGGACTCAAAAGGTTTGAGAACCGCTGCATTAGAGGAAGGTGAAGGACAAGGAACATGTGAGATATGCTTAAAAATAAAAATAGCTTGTTTTGTTCTCTTGCAGGAGCTCTGGATATGGAGAGAGTGTGTCTAATCCCTGCCCCGTCCATCCGCATGCACCTCAAGCAGGAGATCCATATTCCCCTTCAGCTGACATATATTCCTCAGGGGATTTCTATGGCCTGAGTGATGCAGAGATGCGCCAGGCTGAACTTCGTCAACAGGTTTGTTGTTTTCTCTTGTAATAGTGATTCAGGAATATTTTGTGGTAAAAAATAAAGTGTATTCTCTTAAGTGCCATTGTCATATTCTCATATTTAGTGACCCTATGTGATAATTGCATAAATTACTTTTTTGTGGGGTTGTCTCTACAGCCCTTTTACAGCCTTTGATTGTTTCCAAGAATGTTTCTCATATTAATGGCTTACTTTAAATAGGCTAAACATTTCCTGGCATTATGTTCATGTTGGACTTTGTGGAAGTATTTTTAAAATGTTTGGGATTCATTGAGTGTGTATTTGAAATGCATTCATCCAGGTTTTGTATAGAATGCAAATTACATCAAAAGTATGCTAAAATTGAAGCAAAAACTTTGTAGGACTTCTAACCTGGTTATCACATGGGGCTACTCAATAAGCCAAAACTATATTTGTGGACAGCCTATGAATGAATTCTTTCTAATGTAAGTCTGGTTCATTGCTCTAGACCAATGGTGCCCAACCATTTGACTTAGCTCAGATGCCACATGGCATACTCCAACAGCCATGGTGGGCCATATGCAGTCACTAGTTTTGTAGGAGACTATTTTAAGGAAACCTGAGGATATATATTGCGTGTTAGGACCTTGTGAATCACTGTATGCACCTCGCAGGCCACTTTTTGTTCACCACTGTTGCTGGTGCCTTTTCTTCGTATTCTGGCTTTGCAGTTGAATTAATGTGATCTTGAATAGGTAAAGTCTTTAATAAGCCTTGGATGGAGTGCATTGTGGAATCTAAGGCTGCTACATTAATGACTCCAATGGCTGTAGCAGGTTTCCTAAGTTAAAAGTTGAAGATGAGTCCAACTGCTATATATGAATGTGTTTGGCATGTTTGTGCAGGCAGCACAGGGATACAGTGATGCATATAGCCAGGGAATGCAACAGATGGAAGGGTACAGGAGGACATCTTCCAGCCCTGCTCCTTCCACACGCCAGCTTTACATGGCTCGTCCCAAGAACAGGGTCTGTATTGCTGACAAAACTTCTGTAAGACTCACAGTAATGGTGTCCATGTGGTCAATGCCCTGGATGAAGGGCAGGCTGACTTTCATCCCATATCCACTATGGGTATGCCTGCTCTACTGGGCATCTCAATTGTTACACAACTCACTTTAAATTTTTAAAGAGGAACATGTCTACTTGTTGGAGCATAACTTCAAAGCAGGAAGCTGTGCTGGAACTAGGAATAGCTCCATCTTGGTGGCTTTGTGAATGCATGTAACATTTGTTCTTGGGCATATGCTCCTTTATTTTCTTTATTTTCTTCTACATGTCAGCAGCAACCAAAATTATGCATTCTCCTATGTGCACAGAATTCCAACATCATGTCAGCAGTGCTATGCCTGATCAAGGAACTGGATATCCCAAGCCTGGAAGTGGTTGAGATGGCAGTACGTTCCAGAATAGAAGAACTTGAGGACTAAACATCAAAACCTTGACATTCCGTCTTCCATGTGAGCTCTCAAGTCTGTCACTGTTGATGACAATTGTGATGGCATTTGAATAATCTAAATCTTTCCTTGTATTTCAGAGCATTCCATGGCAGTTGTAGAGTGGAATCAAGAAATGATTTAACAGGCTAACATCACTCACGTGTCATAGTCAGGAGGAGACACTAATTTTGATCGACCTGATGACATTGATTTCAATCCTGTCCTAATGGTGATAACTCATCTGGTGATATAATTATTATGCATTGTCTATTTGGTTCTCATGTTTAAAATAAGCTGGAAGGGAATTTACATATAGTTTATATTTCCCTAGGTAGCAGACATTTTACAATGTCAACCCCCCAGCTGCTACTGAGAAGAGTTTCTGATATGTATCTGACTATTTTATACTTATTGATTTCTATGTCTCCTCTGACATTACTCCTAATCAGGGTATTTATACATGACAGCATCTCATCTACTTTCTCTTATTGCCAGTATGAAAATTTAAATAGAAAATTGTCAGGAAGTAGGAACTGACAGGAGTCATCTTTTTTTTTTGAAGTTGTAGAAGAATTGTTTGTGTTGAGGAGCTCAAGAGCAGTCTGCAATCACAGGTTTACTCCTGCCAAACTCAGCAGAAAAGGTTTTATCGATGATATGCTCTTCTCAATGAATCTCTCAAACAGTGATGAAAGTGATTGTGAATCCTCTGCTACCTCTATTATCTAAATTGGTACAGTAGCATTAGCTCTAGTGGTGAAGTCATTTGGAATAATTTATTTTGCTCTTGCTATCTGTTTACAAGTGACCCAGATGAATGCAACCAGTAAAGACAAGTGTCATTGTGGTGGGCACTCACATTGAAACTCACCATAGCCAGCAAGGAATGAGTGTTTGACAGAAGCTTCATTTCTGACTGTCAATTTATCCAATGACTAGGTGTATATTGTCCCAGATGTAAAGCTCTTTAGCTTAGGCCTCAGCTGATGCACTGGATGGCAATGCCATTGGTTGAAGCAGAAAGCTGTACATGTTACACCAAGTTGGGCAGATGTACCCCAACAAATTCCACCATGCTATCAACCATTCATCAACTACCCCTCCTAAGCTGCTCAGAGTCTTTGCTAATTGAAGCAACCAGATGATTCAAGGAATCATAATTGCATGTGTTTTTTTTCAAACACTTCAACTTGGTTGGTGAAGAGCTCCCAAATGAATTCATCAGAGGTCATTCTGTGTGTTCAGTCACCAGAACCACATCGCCAATTGCATACCTACAAATCTCCTGAAATGCTAGACCATCACGGGTCAAACTTTGTTGACATGGAGGGCTATTTTGTACCAAAATAAGGCTCTAAGGCACTATTGTGCCATGTAAGCATCTTGAAGCAGAGACTTACAAGCTCCAGTGCCCAAAGATTGAACAGAATCTGAACACCTCATGCATGAAATTATGTGCATCACCAATATATCTCCATTGCTGTGCTAAGCATCAAGAATGGTAGGATTCTTTCCTCAGAAGAGCTCCAATGGTACTATTTTCCATAATATTTATTAAGGGCATTCACATTAGTGGAAATACATCATTAAAGATACTGATTCTTCATGTATGTCATCACATAGTTGTTGGCTGTAATGGCTCCATGGCAGCTCTCATGTTCAAAGTTTCAATGATAACAAATTTTGTTGGTCAATTTATTAGTTTTCCTTTTCTTCCTTCAATGTCAATGTTTCAAATCCTATTGCAAAGAATACTTTGTCTGCACTTTAATGGGGATGGGAATACTTAAGAGCAAGCTGTTCACATAGTTATTCCCTCCTGGATGGTTATTACCCCTATTCCAAATAGTCTGACCAGAGTGAGGAAGATCTCAGACGAATCATTCCAGTAGAATTACTTGGGAGAATTTTTGCCTAAAGTAATTTTCACCAAGGGTTCTCTATCTATTTTGGCATAGAGTTACTGTGGTGACTCTTCAGTAACTTCAAGTGTCAAGATCTCATGATGGTGTGCATCAATGATTAAAATACTATTATCCAGGCTGTCAGTTTTGTGCAATTTAGCTGTGCTCATGCACCTTTTGTGCTGAATATTTTCGTTATAAGGACTTGTCAGACCATTGTCCAAACAGCTTGCACTGAGTCTCACTAACTTGAAAAATATTGCAGGACACTGGTGCACTTTTATAGCAGCCTCATTAGGAGTTCTTTCTAGGTTTTTCAATCTTTAACCATAATGGTTCATTTTGAGTATTTGAAAAACTTGTTTGTGAGAAGATGTTGATCTGTCACAGTGACTCACAAAAACTATGCTAGCATCCACTGTGTATTCACCATGACTTGCAAGTCTCAGGTTGGGAACCATGGGTGTACCTGGATGAATCCTATGATGGTGAGGTATAATGTAAGAAGTAGGAGGGGTGATGGTGCTGTGCATTGCAGCCAATCACATTGTGATGGCAATGATGAAGTCGTTGATTACGCTTTTGCACTAATGTGAGTGTAACCTTAAACTGGTACATACCACACTGGACTGATGGAATGAGGATCCCTGAAAATTGAATCTGGGGGGGCATTTAACCCTTTTGTGGGCAGTTTTTTTTCTTATGCACTGCTTTCTAGAGCACAGGGAGGGTTTAACGTTTTTTCGGGCAGTATACTTCCCACTGCCCACGAAAGGGTTAAGTAATTCATCACACAAAGATTCAAATGCATATTTTGGTAATGCAATGGTTGGTACAGGAGCTGGTTCTTCTGGAATTGAACATCGCAAACTGTCCCTACTCAAATTCTCAAAGCTAGGGAATGATTGGTTTGCTTTTCTCTCATTGTTCTGCTGCTGTGATTTTACTGTAATTTGTTTAGAATTCTACCTGAATACAATAGCTTTATCTCACTGTAAAAACTGAAAAGCAATCATGTTTTTGAAAATGAACAGAAGTGTAGATAGAGGAGTTCCTTGACTTGTTAATGTTGGATTATCCTGTGGACATGTGAGAAATGTGCTAGTGATGGCATCCATTCCTTCAACTGGGATCCTAATTCATTAATAAAACTGGTGAACTTCTCGTATGGAGTTGTTATTGGCAAACAGTAGGAGAATTTCTCCTGGAAAAATGGATCTTCCCATTATGGAAAGGCATTCTTGAAAGATTGACCTGATCCTCATCAATTGACAGTATCATGGTTTTTGCTTTTGGAACGGCTTTGAGTGATGTTGGAAATCTTCCAATCTGATCACCTTCAAAGTCTTTTATATTCAAGGTAAGGAAAAAGAAGAGCAACAATTTTAACCAAAATTGCGTTAACACAAAGCACAAATGCAAGAGTAAAATATAATATACCTAAGTCGTTTCCTCTTCGTTCATTTGTGTTACTTTGACAGTGTATTTAATTACAGACAAAAAAGAACTTGTTTGGGGATTTACTTAGCATGCACACAACAAAGTAACCATAATCTTCGATCGGGAAGGATTCCTATCAACGCTAATTATTTTCTGGTCTCACCAATCCTTGAATCTGTTAACATACGAACGATGGCGGTATTTGCAAATTGAAAAGCCTAAACAGTGCAGGGTTAACTCGGGACGGCTTCTTTCAGGTACTTTGACTGCGGATAGCCGAACTTCCTAAGCCTTCGTAAGGTCGCAGAGGTGAACCGGTGTGCGCTACTGCTAGCTCGCTAGCCCTGCCAGCTCTTGAAGCCGTTCGTGGAAGTCCTCGAAACCGCCACTGGTCGAGGAAGGCTGTACCTTCCTAGAATTCCTGATATCGTCGCCTGGAATTTTTGCGTGAATAAATGACCCCATGACTTGGATGAGGGTAGGGCACCACGAGCCACTCTTTTGTGTGCCTGCAACTTGAGCATTTTTCCCTCAGCAGCAATATAAGGCGCTGCGTGTAAAGACTCACTTCACCTGCGCGATCCTGTCTAAAGTTCTCAACTTCAGAGTTTCGAAAAACCGTATATTAAAATGGGGCGCCATGAGTCATTGTCGATGGGTCGCCCTCATAATAATTGCTTGAATGAAGTTTAATTGGCCCAGTCATCACAAAAATTTATGTTCGCACCACAGGAAAGTTATTGGATACTGCTACTCTTCACCACAATAAACTGATAAGGTTTAAAGAAGGAAACTTTTCTCTGAAAATAAAAATCCATTTCACGCCCAAGAATGTCACATCTGCTGGTGTTGAACCCATCAGTCTTAAAATCGCGCACTATCATGTCGGAAAAATACAGCAAAGGAAATCACGATCAGCATTAACAGCTCTAAAAAAAAAACATTTGGCGCACCATGAGCTACGACCCATTTTCCCCAAATGGAACGAATCAACGCGCCCATCCCAAGCAAAATCAGGATCACAACCGAAGTACCGTTCGCAGCTATGTTAGCGCAGGCATCGAACCGCAGACCTCCCGAACCCAACCTCAGCAAGAATCACTCCCACTCATCAAAAACCACAAAGAACAAAAATCGAGACGTCACTCTCGACTAGAAACGAAAGCGCCTACCACCGAACATCCACCTAACCTGCCCTCGGAGCAGAAACTGCTCTCCCCTCGACCACACCCCGGCTACTCCAGCTGGAAGTCGCAGAGGTGGGAGAGCTCCAGGCAGCCTGACCCGTCCCACCCCATGACTCATGGCGCCCCCTCCAATCAGCATTTTAATTTAAAGAAAATCTGACGTTACTCAAGAATGCTTCGTAGAAGCCATATGAAATTTCAACAAATATTGAAGAACATGCAAGGCAATATTCCTTTAAATTTTTTAGGTCAATTCCCCCCCCCCCCCCCCCCCCCCCGCCCCCCCCCCCCCCCCCCCCCCCCCCCAACTCTTATCTTCGGTCGAATTCCTATGCAACTCAAGAATTTAAATGTTGAGAGAAAACGAGAAGTGGGAGGTTGCGTGGTATAGGAAGAAGGTATCTGGATATTTATTTGTATGTTTTTTTTTTTGCCATGCCTTGTAGCAACTTTTACGCGGCTTCGTGAAGTCGTAAAGTTTCCGCTTAATAGCAGAAATATTCATCCCGTAGGCGTAGTTCTCGATAGGTAAGGTATTATGACAGTAAATTTGACATAATATTGACCCTGAAAATTCTACAAGTTTAACACAACCGTCCTTAAAACGTTTTGAGCAGCAAAGCAAAATGCCAGCGAAAGATGCTAAGATCGACTCATCTCTACCCTAATTAAAAAAGACCGTCTCGTTTTGGAAATGTTCACGAGCCGAATGTGAACACGAATCGCATGCAGACACATTCCACCTCTCATTGCCATATTTCTGCACCGGCAAAGAAAAATGTCTTCTGGAGGAATGCCGGTCAGCTTTTACCTTTTCTTTAGAAGTCTCATTCTACGCGTTACTCGGCCAGTCGCTCTTCTCACTCCATGTTAAAACGATGAAGAATCCGCAGCCGAGAGTTCGGATTCGCTTATCGCCTCTCGCAGGCCCGATCCCGTCACGGAGAGAACGAGCTTCTTCCAGCCTCGAACCGTCGCTCTTACGAGCAAAAAACGAACATCGATCGTCGAAGAGCTGGCTCGGAAAGAGAACTGCACGAGAGCACGTTCATGGATGGACTGCGTTCGGAGGATCGTACCTGCATCCTCATTCGATTGTGTCGTCTAACTGCCGAGAATAGTGCATTTCGGAGCACACTCGGATTAGACGCGGCTTGGAGCAGACTATTGCTCCGTGTGTCAGGATGGCCGAGCGGTCTAAGGCGGTAGATTCAAGCGTGAGCTTGCCGCGGTGGCGCTGCTGGATACTCTACTCCTCTCTGAGGGCGTGGGTTCGAATCCCACTTCTGACACGACTCTTTTTTTCGCGTCAGGAGTGGGATGTTTTCTCGACACACGGTTTTTCTAGAGGATGTGATTGGAAGAAAACATGCAGGAAGCACTAGAGAGTGCCAGAGTCTCTGATTTTATTTTTGATAGTTGCGATGTTCGTAAATATGGATAAGAAGTTCTACTGAAAATTGTGCAGAATACAAGCTGTAATAAGTCATTTCAGAAATGTTCACAAGCGTGGAAACGACGCAGCAAAGGGTTAAGAGACCAATTGGCTTCCATTTCAGCAAATAACCCTCCCCCCTCATCGAAACTCTCTCCGCTGTGAAATGAATCAGTCCCAGTCGAGTTCGAACCCGGTTCCCTTGTCATATGCGGTCCGCCTCACCTGCCCCTCGACCCGCTCAAAAAAAAGAGACTGTCAGAAGTGGGATTCGAACCCACGCCCTCAGAGAGGAGTAGAGTATCCAGCAGCGCCATCGCGCCAAGCGAACGCTTGAATCTACCGCCTTAGACCGCTCGGCCATCCTGACACTCGATCTTTCGGGTTAAACCGAGTCTAATTTGAATGTGCTCCTAGGCTAAGAATTCTTCTCAGCTGTCAGATGACGGTATCTCTGAGAAGCTATTCCAAATTTTGTTTAGATGTATATTTTTTGCACTTGCGATACGACATAGGCGAGACGGGGAATATATCTTCATGCGATCCACGACCGCAATTGCTTCATGAACACTTCAGACGCGATTTATTTATTATTTTTCTGTAGGTTGGCAGGTGAGGCCTTACATTGCAAGGATTCGAACTCGACGGAGTCGGGCGTTTATTCCAAGTCGGAGAGAGTTTCGATGGGGGATGCGCGGGAGCCGACACGAGA